TTCTGATCTGCTTGTTACCTTTAATATTATAGTTGACAGATCATTATTTGGATAAAAAAGGTGGTGATGGATGCTGATAGTGTTGGTTAACTGAAGTGGAGATTAATGGTGATAAGGTAACCTCAGCAGATTGCCTCTCACTATGTACTCTAATGTATTGTACCTAATGCCATGGCAGAGTTTAACCCTTTAACTGTGCAACGCGCCTGCAGGCCCAGGCTTCGGGTGCGCAACGCGCTTCTGGGTGTTTTTATTTTTCACGTTCCATTCAAAACTCCCGCGGCTACATGGGGTTCACATCAGCTTCTTCAGGGAGGAAGCTGATGAGGAAGCTGTAAACAGACGCCATCTCAAAAAATAATCATCGTCCACATTGCCGGGTGTCAGAGCCTCAGTAATGAGTGAGCAACCAAGGCTGGCGCTCGCAGCATGAGCGCACAGCACTGCTGTTCAGCGTGTGACCACAGCATCGCCTAATATTGTCAAATTATATATATAATCTGTTTTATTTAGCCATGATAGTATTATAGAACAGCCCGAGTGTGATAATGACTGGGTACAATGTTCAAATATCAGTGATTCAATGTTGTTCACGATGTTCACAGCGCTAACCACAGCACCACAGCATTATTTCGTCCATCTAGGAATCTTCAAACGACTTTTTAGGTTCCTTTTCAAAATAAACTTGTGGTCAATTATTCATTTACAAGTATTAGTGACCAGGATTGTGGTTATAATGAGCATTGTGCATAGGAAGGAGGAATTTTGGTGAGGGAGGGAGGAAGGGAGAGAATTGAGGTACCCTCACTGTGTGGCAGTAACTCTTGTTTTGCTCACCATACTAGCTTCGTGGTTCGCTATGGGGAACACACATGTACATGGGTATATACAGTGTGTGTGAATAGTCTAATAACAACACCAGGAATATGTTGTGAGGAGCTATTTTGGTGAGGCCACCACCACCTTCTCACCTAACTTGTTCCAACCGTCTACCACTCTGTTTACAAAAGTGAACTTTCTTATATTTTTCCGGCAGTTTTGTTTCGTTAGTTTAAATCTATGACAGTTCTTGAAGTTCCGGGTCTCAGGAATTCTTCCCTATCAATTTTATCGATTCCTGTTATATTTTGATTGTAGTGATCATATCGCATCTTTTTCTTCTATCTTCTAGTTTTGGCATATTTAATGCCTCTAACCTCTCCTCATAGCTCTTGTCCTTCAGTTCTGGGAGCCACTTAGTGGCATGTTGTTGCACCTTTTCCAGTTTGTTGATGTGCTTCTTAAGATATGGACACCATACAACCGCTACATATTCCAGCTTTGGTCTAACAAAAGTCGTGAACAATTTCTTTAGTATTTCTCCATCCATGTATTTAAAAGCAATTCTGAAGTTAGAAAGTGTAGCATAGGCTCCTCGCACAATATTCTTAATGTGGTCCTCAGGTGACGGTTTTCAATCTAGAACCACCCCTATATCCCTTTCTTTGTCAGAATTCTTTAAAGATTTCTCATATAATATATAGGTTGTGTGGGGTCTATGTTCTCCAATTCCATATTCCATAACATGGCATTTATTCACATTAATTCCATTTGCCAAGTGTTGCTCCATATACTTATTTTGTCCAGGTCTTCTTGAAGGGCATGACAATCACCTAGGTTTCTTATCTTCCCTATTATCTTAGCATCATCAGCAAACATGTTCATAGAATTCTGTATTCCCACTGGTAGGTCATTTATGTAGACAATGAACATTAACGGTGCAAGAACTGAACCCTGTGGTACTCCACTTGTGACATTCCTCCAATCTGATACCTTGCCTCTGATTACGGCCCTCATTTTTCTGTCAGATAGGAAATTTTTCATCCATGTTAGAAGTCTACCTGTCACCCCTCCAATATGTTCCAGTTTCCAGAACAACCTCTTATGGGGAACTCGTCGAAAGCCTTTTTAGGTCCAGATAGATGCCGTCAACCCACCCATCTCTTTCCTGTAAAATCTCTGTGGCTCGATCATAAAAACTGAGTAAGTTCATTACATAGGATCTTCCAGATCGAAAACCATACTGTCTGTCTGATATTATATCGTTTTCCTCCACCCATTTAGTTTTAATTATTTTTTCCAATATTTTGACTATTACACTTGTCAATGATACAGGTCTATAATTGAGGGGGTCTTCTCTGCTGTCACTTTTGTAGATTGGAACTATGTTAGCCTTTTTCCACACATCAGCTACAACTCCTGTACACAGGGATGCCTGAAAAATCAGTTGAAGTGGAATGCTGAGCTCAGGTGCACAGTCTCTCAGAACCCATGGTGAAACTCCATCTGGACCAACTGCCTTGTTCTTACTTAGCTCCTTGAGCATTTTTTCCACTTCGTCTCTAGACACCTCTATGTGCTCTATGTTGTTCTCTGGAATTCTTATTGTGTCTGGTTCCCTGAAGATTTCATTTTGTACAAACACACTTTGGAACTTTTCGTTTAGTGTTTCACACATTTCCTTTTCATTTTCCATGAATCTATTTCCCATTTTCAACCTCTGAATATTATCCTTTACCTGCAATTTGTTGTTTATGAATTTATAGAATAGACCTGGTTGTGTTTTACATTTGTCTGCAATCCCTTTTTCAAAATTTCTTTCTGCCTCTCTCCTCACTGCCATGTAGTTGTTTCTCGCATCTTTGTATCGCTGGTATGTTTGGGGGTTTGGCCTCTTCCTGTATTGATTCCATTTTTGTGTCTTTTGGTCTCTGGCCCTCTCGCAATTTCTTTTCTACCAATCTTGTTTCCTAGTTCTGCATCTCTGTTTTGGTATAAATTTTTTTGTGCCTTTATCATATATTTCACAAAACTTGACATACATCTCATTCACTTCCTTGCCTAGCAACAAGTCTGTCCAATTATACTCACTAAAAAATTTTCTAATGTCGCCATAATGTCCTCTCCTGAAGTCAGGTTTTTCAACTGCTTCAACCTCCTTATTTTCTTCCAGATTATAACATTTATTATAACAAGCACAATTGGCAAGTGGAGCTGTGTACTGTCATTGAGCAAACTAGTTCCATCTTAATTGCATATTTTTATTCAGACTGCCTGCCCTACAAGTTATCATAACACTATCGCGCCCCTGGCATGCGCGCCGCCAACTTAGAGGTCACGCACCTGACATGCGATCAAGCTCGCGGCGACACCGAAATGTGTATACTCGTTTCAGTTTTCTCACTTTAATTCTCGTGCTACGTCGTTCGTTTTGGTATTTTTGTATTCGCAATTAAATTCCCTACAGGTGTATATGCATATAATGTACAAAAGCCTGGTGTGCCTCCCAGCAAGAAAGCCTAAAGTTACCCGTAAATGAGCACCAATCGGCACACCACAACCTAAAGTGTATACTCGCTCAGTTTGACAACATAAATTTTCGTGTTACGTCTTTCATTTTAGTATCAAATTGTTCGCAATAAAAGGGTGCATATTTTAAAATTAGTCCCATAATAATAGAGCAATAACTGGAATTTTAACAAATACTCATATATTAATTATGGAAGCTAATTATCACAAAATTATTTATATCTTTCCAGTGTTCTGACATAAATGTTTGTGTTACATCTTTCATTTTGGTACCAAAATGGTACGGCTAGGACTCAAGAGAAAAAAAATGGACGTGATTGGTGTCCAAAGCGAGCGATAGTGTTAAATTAACACTATCACTCTCTTTGGATACCCCTCGAGTCCACTTTTTTTCTATCGTGTCCTAGCTTTGGACACTGCTCGCATCCAATACAAAAAATATTTGTATAAAATTAATTTCTATCCGATCAACTTCGGGTTAGTTTCAAAATGAGCGCCTTTAGAGTGCACACAATTTGATATCAACATGAAAGATGTTACACAAAACTTGATGTCAGAACACTTGAAAAATTATAAATATGTTTTTGGTCAAAATTTTAAAATATTTGTTAAAATTCTATTTATTGTGCTATTATTATGGAACTAGTTTTAAAATGCGCACCTTTGCATTGCAAACAATTTGATACTAAAATTAAAAATGTAACAAAATTTTATGTCAGAACACTGGAAAGTGGTTAATTATCAAAAGAAGGCACCAAACCGGGAAGGCTGTGTAGAACACTGGAAAGATATAAATAATTTTGTGTTGATGAGCATCCAAAATTAAAATATTTGTTAAAATTACAGTTATTGCTCTATTATTATGGGACTAGTTTTAAAATACGCACCTTTATATCGAGAACAATTTGACACCAAAACGAGCGACGTAACACGATAATTGATGTTATCAAACTGAACGAGTATACACATTAGGTTGTGGGTGTGATAATTGGTGCTCGTTCACGGGTAACTTTAGGGTTTGGTAAGGGAGTCACGCTGGGTTTTTGGACAATATATGCATATACACCTGCAGGGAATTTAATTACGAACACATTGATACCAAAACGAACGACATAGTATGAGAATTAAGATGAGAAAACTGAAACGAGTATACACAATTTACTGATTTTGTGTGCTCATGGGTAACTTTTCCCGACTTTAGGCTTTGCTGTGGGGGAGTCAAGCTTGGCTTTTGGACCCTATATGCATATACACCTGTAGTGAATTCTATTATGAACACAATGATACCAAAATGAGCGACGTAGCATGAGAATTAAGTTGAGAAAACTGAAACAAGTATACACATTTAGTGTTGCCAAGCACTCGCCCGCACCATCAGGCCTACTTCGTGCATACGAGCGGAGCGCACGCCCAGGGCGCAATACTGTTAACTTTTTTGCCGAACAAACCCCAATTGGATAACAGTTATTTTCAGAAAAAAGGCATCTGTGAAGCATGTGGCTGACTGTAATTATGATAACTGTCTACAGGCTCACCATAGCCTGTGTTACTTGGAACTTTTTGTTCCAGGTAGCGAATCTTTAACAACAACAACATGTAATCATGAAGAACATAATGCAATCGGCTAAGAAACTGCATATTTGATTGCTTACCATTTCCTAAGCTTCTTTCTTCTTTTACATCTCCATGACTTAGGTATCGGTGAATACGCTTGAGAATTTTTTTCTGGGATTTGCTTAGCTTGAATTCCAGTATGTCACATCTGGGGAAGCAACAACATTGTCAAAGATGAAGTTTTACTATGTATACTTCAAATGTGATATGTTATTTAGTAAACATCCCTATGAATTTGATATAACCACAGTGGGGGAATCTGCAGCAATCAAATATGTAAAACTTTTATAAATAAATAAAAAAAGAAATATTTGTAAAATATTATCATTAAACATTGATATAAAAAACCTACTCAGTGACAAAATTTAGTATTTCTTATTTTTAGGCATATGACAATGGGCACTGGTCTGGAAAACAGGTTCTAAACCATGCAATGGTGTCAAGCGCAGTGTGGTCTCTGTGTTCTTTGTGAATACACACCTTCCACTCTTGTATGATTTTGTTGGCTAAATATCATCATCATGTTTAAAGGCATTTCTTCTTAACAAGATGTCACATAGCATCATTCTTGGTGCTGAAAGTGAGAACTGCAATGCATCCACATTTCAACTAAGCACAGAACTTGATTACAATTGGGGAGGAATGTGTAGGTGGTGTGGTACTCTGCCTGCTGACCACCAGCACTATGGTGCATATGAATATTTATAATAATTTTACATTTGTGCCACAATAATATTTAATGTGCCACAATAATATTTTACATTTGTGCCACAACAATATTTAAAATTTGGTACCAAAATGTTTGCCAATAGCTGCTCTACTGAATACTTCAAAAAATGTGTAAAACACCAGCATTGAATGTAATGAAATACCTATTTCTGAGTAAGCCCCGAAGATTTCCTGAAGCTATACACTGGAAATGGTTCCCATCTACCAGGTCACATCAGCTGGGCACCAAAGCCAGAACCTGTGCCCACTCAAAGATGTAGGGAGCGATGATATTTAGCCACCTCACCGGGAACAGCATCCAGAAAGTCAGCGAGCCAAAACACACCACTGCTGGATTCAAGAGAGACAGAAGCCTTGCAATCTTGAGGCCTGCTTGATGGGGTTCTAGGATTCATCTACTCCCCAAGCCCAGCGTGAGGCCAGGCTTGACTTTCCACCAGGCTCTTGCTTGGAGCGGTCCACCAGGCTCTTGCTTGGAGCGGTCCACCAGGCTCTTGCTTGGAGCGGTCCACCAGGCTCTTGCTTGGAGCGGTCCACCAGGCTCTTGCTTGGAGCGGTCCACCAGGCTCTTGTTTGGAGCGGTCCACCAGGCTCTTGCTTGGAGCGGTCCACCAGGCTCTTGCTTGGAGCGGTCCACAAGGCTCTTGCTTGGAGCGGTCCACAAGGCTCTTGCTTGGAGCGGTCCACCAGGCTCTTGCTTGGAGCGGTCCACCAGGCTCTTGCTTGGAGCGGTCCACAAGGCTCTTGCTTGGAGCGGCCAGCAGGGCCAACATATCCACCACAGCCCAGTTGGTCCGGCACTTTTTCAACTCCAATGCCAATATACACGTATAAACCTGTATACTGTAAACGTATAAGTGTGTATAAATATACACGTATAAAAGTTTTACATATTTGATTGCTGAAGATTCCCCACTGTGGATACAGTATATCCAATAAAGAGATCCGAGCTGTCGGTTCTGGAGCAGATGCACAAACAAGACCCATCTGACTATCTGGAAGGGGGGAGGGAAGGGAATCAGGGTGCCACTGGGGCTCACCCAGAAAAATTTCATTTCATCACATTTAACACTGGTTTTCTGGGGGGAAACCTTGTGGGGTTCCCTGAAGCTACTTAACCATGTTGAAGGAAAAATACATGGGAACTTACCAGGTACGAAGGAAAACTGCAGAAGTCAGAAGAAAGGAACCCCAGATGAGAGAAACGACCTACCTGGATTGTACCTACCCAAGGTCACAAAAGAACACCAAGACTTGGGAACATTCACCAAATACTGGGCTGCCAAGACTCAGACTGCCAACACCCTCCGCACCCAAAATAGCGGTCAAGGACATGTTAGCATACAATCACAACAGCAGCATATTTCCGAACATCATGGAACATCATGTTAGTACGTATGTATTTGTAAGTGGTGATCATATCACCTCTTTTTTTCTATCCTCTAGTTTTGGCATGTTTAACGCCTTTTAATATCTCCTCATAACTTTTGTATTTCAGTTCCGGAAACCATTTTGTAGCGTGCCATTGCACCTTTTCAAGTTTATTTATGTACTTCTTGAGATTTGGGCACCATACAACTGCTGCATATTTCCAATTTTGGTCTCGGAAAAAGTCATGAACCGTTTCTTTAGTATTTCACATTTCATATATGTAATTAAAAGTAAGCCTGAAGTTCGAAAGCATCGCATGCGCTCCTTTCACAACGTTCTTAGAGTGTTCCTCTGGTGACAACTTACTATCCAACATCACCCCTAGGTCTCGTTCTTTATTTGAGTTCTGTAATTCCTTTCCATATAATTTGTAAGTTGTGTGTGGTCTATTTTCTCCATTTCCACATTCCATAATATGGCATTTATTCACAATGAATTCCACTTGACACTCCAAGAACTAATTTTATCTATATCAATTTGAAGGGAATGACAATCGTCTGCATCTCAAATCTTCCCCAGTATCTTAGCATCATCCATAAACATGTTCATATAATTCTGTATTCCTTCTGATCATTTATGTAGACGATGAACATTACTAGTACAAGAACCGAGTCCTGTGGTACTCCTCTAATGATGCTCCTCCAGTCAAGTGCATTGTCTCTGATTACTGCCCCTCATCTGTTTATCAGTTAGAAAATTTTCTATCCATGTCAGAAGTCTTCCTGTCAACCCTCCAGCAAGTTTCAGTTTCTAGAACACCTCTTGTGGGGGATTGTCAAAAGACTTCTTTAGGTCCAGACAGACACAATCAACCCTACCATCTCTTTCCTATAGTATCTCTGTGGCTCTATCATAAAAACTAAGCAGCTTTGTTACACAGGATCTTCCTGGTCCAAAACCATACTGTCTGTTCATTATTATGTCATTACTCTCTAGGTATTCAATCCATTTGGCTCTAACTATTGTTACTAGTGCTTTGACTACCACACTTGTTAGTGATAGAGGTCAATAATTTAGAGGTTCCTCCCAACTACCATATTTATAGATTGGTACTATGTTTGCCTCTTTCCATATATCTGCTAAGATTCCTGTGCACAAGGGTGTCTAGAATATTAATTGGAATGGAATGCTCAGCTCAGTTGCACATTCTTGCAGCACCCAAGGTGGAACTCCATGAGGTCCAACTGCTTTATTTCTTCCTAGCCTCTCGAGTAATTTTTCCACTTCATCTTGAGATACCTTTATGTTTGCTATGGCGTGCTCTTGTAGTAGTATTGGGTCCGGCTCTCTGAAATCCTCATTTTGTACAAACACTTCAAAACTGTTCATTTAGCATTTCACACATTTCTTTTTCATTCTCAGTAGTCCTGTTTCCTGTTCTCAATCTCTGGATTTTATTCTTTACGTGCAACTTGCTTTTAATGAATTTATAGAAAAGGCTTGGATCTGTTTTACATTTGTCTGCTATACCTTTCTCAAAGTTCCTTTCTGCCTCTCTCCTCACTGTTGTGTAATTGTTTTTTTGCTTGCTTGTAGTGCTGGTATGTTTGTGGGTTAGGCCTCTTCCTGTATTGAACCCATTTTCTAGTCTTTTCCTCTCTAGCCCTCTCACAATTTCTTTTGAACCAATCCTGTATTATGGTCCTGCAGCTCTGTTTTGGTACAAGTGTGTGTGTGTGTCTTCATTGTATATTCTGCATAATTTGGCATACCTCTCATTTACTTCCTTGCCTAGCAACAAGTCTGTCCAATTAAACTTATTAAAGAATTTTCCAAGTTCCCCATTGTGTCCTCTCTTGAAATCGAGTTTATAAACTGTTTTAATGTTCCCATTCTCTTCCAGATTATATCATAAGCATATTTAATGTCCAATAGGACATGATCACTTGAAAGATTGCAAAAGACTGTGTAATTTCTTTACATAAATTTCATAAAGACACAAGTGTGGGTTTTTATCTGATGTTAAGTCTGTGAGAAGACATTACTATTATTCATTAACTCCTCTTCTGTTTTGCTATAGAGTATTTTATTAGAACAAATAAAGTTTTAGGATATTGAATAAGATAGACAAATATAAAAGATTTCTTCAAGATGTCTAATTATATAACTGAATGAAATACAGGCCTACTGTGAACACCTATTGTGCTGAATGGCACAAATACTTACTTTATGGTATACATAGGACAACAAGTCTTATCCATTATTGGTTTATAGCAGTATTTTCCACTACGACGCCAACCACGATCAATCAGGTCCTGATAATGATTTACAGCCAATCGATGAGCCCACATACCTGCCAAGACAAAAGATCTCATATACATATATAATACATACTGTACATATTAAAAATAATGTGTGCAAAGCAATTCTAAGTATCTTTAACCTCTGCACTGCATACCAGTTCCGTATGACAACTTTGTGCTGCACACAAAAAGTCAAATTAAATTTGTTTCTAATATTGTTAAAATATGTTTCCTGATCATGTTAAATTAACAAACAAAAATTAGGACAGTATATAGCTGTGGTGGAGAGAGGAAAATTGCGATGACGTCACTAATTCATGCTTGCTATTGGATGAGACACTCTGTGGAGGTTGCCCGAGCCAAGCGGGTGGTGGAGGTTGCCACGAATATATTTATACAGCGCTAGACACGAAAGCAGATATAAATGATGTGCGCGGTTTCGGTTTTGTCACTGATATCATATACCTGTATGTACCAGTATCCACTAACACCCTATATGGGGCTGTACCCAGGTCGTTAAATCCGAAGGTCTGCTAAATCCGGAGGTTTCAATTTGGGACAGCAACAGGATGGATGGTGGGTTATCTATCTTGAGATTATTTCGGGGCTTAGCGTCCCCCCGGCCCGGTCCTCGACCAGGCCTCCTTTTTGTTACACATCCCCCCCCCCAGGAAGCAGCCCATAGTAACTAACTCCCAGGTACCTATTGACTGCTAGGTATCAGGAGCATCAGGGCAAAAACTCTTTGCCCATTTGTCTTCGCCTCCACCAGGGGTCGAACCCAGAACCTCAGGACTACGAATCCGAAGCGCTGTCCACTCAGCTGTCAGGCGCCCTTGGGTGGTGGGTGGGCTGGCTGGATGGTTAACTGGCTGATAGGTAGACTTTGGATAGGCTTGGTGTGGGTTTTTTTGGGTGGGTTCTAAGGGCTTTTGGGTGGGTGGTCTTGGGTGGGTTCAAGTGGGTGGGCATTCTTGGGTGGGTTCAAGTGGGTGGGCATTCTTGGGTGGGTTCTGGCAGGCATTGGTGGTTTCGGGCAGGTGGGTAGGCAGGCATTGGTGGGTTCAGACGGGTGGGCTTTCTTGGGTGGTTTCGGCGGGCAGTCTTTTGGGCAGGCTTGGGTGGGCTCGGGCAAGTAGTTATCTTGAGATGATTTCGGGGCTTTAGTGTCCCCGCGGCCCGGTCCTCGACCAGGCCTCCACCCCCAGGAAGCAGCCCGTGACAGCTGACTAACACCCAGGTACCTATTTTACTGCTAGGTAACAGGGGCATAGGGTGAAAGAAACTCTGCCCATTGTTTCTCGCCGGCGCCTGGGATCAAACCCAGGACCACAGGATCAAAAGTCCCGTGTGCTGTCCGCTCGGCCGACCGGCTGTGCCGTCTTGGGTCGGTTCGGGGTTTGTTCGTTCTTGGGTCGGTTCGGGCGGGTGGGTGGGTGGGTGTTCGTTCTTGGGTCGGTTCGGACAGGTGGGTGTTCGTTCTTGGGTCGGTTTGGGCGAGTGGGTGTTCGTACTTGGGTCGGTTCGGGCAGGTGGGTGTTCATTCTTGGGTCGTTTATTGTTCCTTCTTGGGTCGGTTCAGGCGGATGGGTGTTCCTTCTTGGGTCGATTCGGGTGGATGGGTGTTCCTTTTTGGGTCAGTTCGGGTTGGGCTGTTCATTCTTGGGTCAGTTTGGGCGGATGGGTGTTCCTTCTTGGGTCGGTTCAGGCGGATGGGTGTTCCTTCTTGGGTCGGTTCGGGCGGGTGGGTGGGTGTTACTTCTTGGGTCGGTTTGGGCGGGTGGGTTGTGTTCATTCTTGGGTCGGTTCGGGCAGTTAGGCGGGTTTGGGCGAGTTCTCTTGGACCGGTGTGCGGGTTTTGGCAGGCAGACTATCACAAACTGGCAGTGGTGATGCCACATCACCTCAGCTCTCCCAAACCAGCTACATCGTACCCCCCTCCCCATGCCATACCCTCCCAGACATATCCCCCACCCCTCCAGGCACGTGTTGACGGTCTATACGGTATTTATACTGTTCAGATTCCCGGTTACCTTCCAAATAGATGGTGGCCTTGGAGATAGACTGCACTGACCTCCCTCCCTCCCTCACTGACCCTCCCTCCCTCACTACCCAGACTGACTCGACCTCACTCACTCACTGCCCTGACTGACCCTCCCTCACTCACTACCCAGACTGACCCGACCTCCCTCCCTCCCTCCCTCACTCACTCACTCACTGCCCTACTGACCCTCCCTCCCTCATTGCTCTGACCGACTCTCCCTCCCTCCCTCCCTCACTGCCCTGACTGACCCGACCTACCTACCTCCCTCCCTCACTGCATTAACTGACCCCCCCTCCTTCCCTCACTGCCCCGACTGACCCAACCTCCCTCACATGACGTGGTGTGGGCCGGCTCAGCCCGACCCGACCCAACATGACATGACACACTCACTGCCCTGACTGACTGCTCTGACTGCCTGCCTGCCCTGACTGACTTATATACAAGGTACACTGGGTTTGTGAGAGTACATAATGTTGGTGTTCTGTAAACAAAATCAAATTTATGTTTACAAACTGACTGGTTGCTACCACAACTGCGAATGCCTGACTCGTGAAATTGAATGCCTGACTGACTTGACCATGGCTGCTGCTGACTGGTTGTAACTGTGACTAGCTCTGACTACATGATACATAACAGAAGTAAAATCTGTGAAGGGAAAATGTAGCCACTAGCCTAGTGAGGGCAAGGTGGTCACAACAAACACAATACAATGGGGCCTCGACTTACGATGCTAATCCGTTCCCAGAGACGGATCGTAAGTCGAAGCGATTTTTCCCATAAGAAATAAAGGGAATTGAATTAATCCGTTCCCCACCCTCCAAAATATTAACATACAAATACATTTTATACTGAATACAATGTTTTTTTCTAACTACAATACAGCACTAAAGTTTCTCTTACCTTTATGGAGGGCTCTTGATGGTGTATGGAAGATGGTAATGAGGGAGGAGGAGGAGAGTTGTTACTGTTTGCAAGGGGAGTCCCCTTCCATTATCACATCAGGCAGTGATGTTTTCTCTGGGATACTCTCTCTCCTACGTTTTGCCTGAATACCACTAGGACCTGGTTGTGGTTCAGTGCTTGTTAGTCTCGCTACAAATTTGTCAAGAGACATTTGTTTTTCCCTTAGTTTTAACATTTGTCTGTAATGATGCATCACGGTGTCATTGAATGGGTTAAGGCAACGACCTACTGCAGCTTGATTTGAGCGAGTCGTTTCAGCAAAGGTCTGTAATTCTCCCCGTGCTGCACACATTTTCTTAATTGTTGAGGAAGAGACACTGTACTCTTGTTTCTGCTCTATGGTCATCCTTACATGGATTTTCATATGTTGAGCCTTACCACTGTCTTTCCTAGGACTCATGGCGTAATATATAATAATTACTTTAATGTTCAAAATGCAAAAAATCACCACAAAAGCGGAATTTCTTATAGGCGCGATCGTCACTAAGCGAGCAGCTGTAGTAAACCGAGGCAAGTCGGCTGCGTGACTGGGAACCACGCGCTCGGCCAACCCGAACGTGTACCAACAAATATCTGAAGTCAACGACACCATTGGATGTCGAGTCGCATTTTTCAATGAAATTTACATCGTAACTCGAAATTATCGTAAGTAGGGGCAATCGTATGTCGAGGTGCCACTGTACTGGCCTCCAGTTTAACACATACTGGACTCTGTAAACTCAATACCGAATTCCGGATTTAACAGCCAATGACTCTGTGAATAAGGTGCCAGTTAACGACCTAAAAATCAATCGTTAGAACAGGCGGAATGGTAAATAACAGGTTAAATCAAGTGGAGACAAACTGACTTATTTCAGTGTTTTTCACTTAAATAAATCAGTGAGAAACTTTTTTTTTTCATTGCTGACTTGTTTTTTCACTTTTTTTTTTTAATTTTTGCAGTTATATTATGCACATAGTGTGCAATCTGGGTAACCAAGAAACCAAGAGCCTTGCAACATTGACTGAACAATCTACAATGAACTTCCTTGCAAAGTACATCATGAAACCAAGAAGGAAGGATCTCTTGTAAAAACCATGCACTCTTTGAATTACAACATTTCATGTGCCGATTGTTCAAACCATGTTACAAGGCTCTTCGTTTCTTGGCTTTGCAAACAATTGCACATGTGGCTGTGTGCACGCCATCGTCATTTGCGAACAAAATTGCCGACAGCCAGTCCTTGTTAACCTTATGCCAGGGCACACTACCCCTCACTCCTTAAGAGCTAGAATTTTTTTCAGGCAAACTCCTCCAGTACAACCCAGTTTCATCACCAATACAAATGTGAGACAAAATCTATGTTCTTAATTTATGTTGAAATGGTTCAACACCGCTTGTATCTGCACTCAATTTTTCACTGATAATTTTCCTCTTCGCAATATTATGCCTCTCTTTAAACCTTGAAATCCAACCGTCACTTGACATGAAATCCTGTATTCCAAGGCTGGCTGCAAACCTGCCATATGTTATGATACATTAGCAGACGATGCTGCCTGACAGTAAACTGCCTCCAATGTACTATGCACATTGCTAACTCTAGCCACAAACACTCACTGCTATTATCATCAGATTCCTGTCACCAAGTCATAAATATCATTTTCCACAAGTATATTTTTCTAAAGGAACATGAAGTCCCATTGTATAATGAATAGATGCACCAAATCGCTGCTGTGTGCTGTGAATGTTTGCATCCCACTTTGAACATCATAACCAGCACTGTATTCACTGATATCTGAACTTTGTATACAGTTTTTCCCAGTTATGATATTTAATGATTTCATTGCAAAATAATCCCAGTTATTTATTTCATCATTATTAGGCAATATGTGAGCACAAGCTGAACAACAAGCATGCACCGTCTCAATATGGAGGCCCTCAAACCAAGAGGGTGCCCACAATTTTTTTTGAGACGGCATCTGTTTAGCAAGGGTGCCATAGGCACAATCAGAGAACACTGTATAAACATCAGAGATCCACAGTTGTGCATATTGCCAGAACAACCGTGGACGTCTTCAAGAGAAAACTTGATTGTTTTCTTCAAGAAGGGCCAGACCAACCGGGCTGTGGTGGACATGTGGGCCTGAGAGCCGCTCCAAGCAACAGTCTGCTGGACCAAGCTCTCAAGTCGAGCCTGGCCTGGGGCCGGGCTTGTGGAGTAGAAGGTATCAGAACCCAGAACCTCATCAAGCTGGTATCAAGCAGGTACTAGAAACCTGAGGAAGTGGATATGAGCCCTGTGTACCAACAGCAGTTTTAAATCTTACAGTACACCTTAAAGCGACCCTGGTCGCTAAGAGCTCAATTGATGAAGCGACCTTGGTTGTTGTGCACAGTTGAAGGGTTAACCCTCATGTTGTGTGCCTACTATTCCTAACAACCCTGTGTGTGTGGGAAAAATAAAATATTTTAAAAATTAGTTTTTACTTTTAATAGTTGAAATTTGTTCCCTGATCACGGGAAAAACTAGCGTTAAATGTAATGAAATGACATTCTCTGAGCAAGTCCTGGAGGCTCCCCGGAGCTATAGTGGGCTGATGTGTGTACACAGTATTAGTCCATGGAATTGGTCAATTCGATTGGAAATCTAGCCTACGGGGGATCATGAGCCAGAACCTGGCCCCTCAGAGAGGCACGATGAGCAATGGCCTATAGAAACCCACGTAGTTGGAAGCATTCTATATGTCTGCCATCTACTGGGTTAGGCACTCAGAAAGGTAGGCATCTCAAAACAAACTACACCTGGTTAAAATTGCTACCAAAAACCGAACTATCAAGCAGAACTCCACACTCTAAAAATGAGCAAATAAGCATGACATCCTGTATAGGAAGATGGTGCATGCAATTGAAGAGTATTGGTGAAATTGTGAATACATAACTGGTGATATAATGTGATGATATATTGCAATACTGTGAAATATTTAATGAGCATAATTAGTTGCAATAGTGGTGTATTAGCACTACATCACTGTATAAAATTCCATCATGTAACTTTATATATATAGCAATATGTTAATATGGTTTTCACAACTCCATATTAATGTAATGTGTATCAGGTAAACCAATCATCAACTGAACCATTGTCATTCATAACCTGTACTAGTAGCCTGCCGTCATCTGTGGGTGGCACACTGGTGGCTTATGCCTTTGTTTCAATCTATACTTTCGCACATATGGTGCCAACTGTCACCGTATGATCACGTATTTAACTAGTTGTTCTTGCGAGGGTTGAGCTCTGCTCTTTCGGCCTGCCTTTCAACTGTCAATCAATCAACTGTAACTACTATTCCCCCCCCACCCCCAGGAAGCAGCTCCGTAACAGCTGTCTAACTCCTAGGTGCCTATTTACTGCTAGGTAACAGGGGAGAATCAGGGTGAAAGAAACTTTGCCCATTTGTTTCTGCCTGGTCTGGGAATCGAACCCGGGCCACAGAATTACGAGTCCTGCACGCTGTCCATTTAGCTACCAGACACCCCCAGACGTGTCCACATGTCATGATAGACGTGTCCACATATCATTGTCCAGAGCACAGCACCATTGTACTGTGTTTATGGTTTTCACTACTCTATATGGTTGTAACGAAGTATACCAAGTAAACCAATCATCGATTATAACATCATGTATTATGTAAATTATGTGATTTATCAAGTTATTCAACACAATACTGTACTTGTAAATAAAGAGAAATAAGTGATAAACAATCAGTAAATCATCCGAGAACAACAGTTTCCATGGCGCAGTAGTAAAACACTCGCCCGGCACTCATGAGCATTTTGGCCTGGGTTCGTATCCTGGTTGGGGGAATTGACTGGGCACCAATTCTTAACTCTGGGCCGCTCCAAGCAACAACCTGTTGGACCAAAGTCTCACAACTTAAGCCTGGCCCTGGGCTGGGCTTGGGGGAGTAGAACTCCCAGAACCTCATCCAGGTACAAAGCTGCCAAATATGAGAATTCATTTTTTTGCAAAAAAGAGTGGTAGACAGTTGGAACAGGTTGAGAATCATAAAGGCCAAAACTGTCTGTAGTTTCAAAGCATTATACGACAGAGTGCAGGGAAGACGGGACACCATGAGAGTAGCTCTCATCCTGTAACTACACAGGTAATTACACTTGGGTAATTATACACATACATACACTCTACATTATTCCATCCAAAAACCTCGGTTCCAATCACGAGTGGACATGTAGTTACATTCAGATATCTGGTCGAAGCTGTGCAGTCTCCATTACCATAGCAACTGGAACCTCTAGCACACTGAATCTTGGAAATTTCCTCACGTCTGTTGTCAAGGGCCCCAGCCGAGTGAACAGCGCTTCGGATTCGTAGTTCTGAGGTTCCGGGTTCAATCTGGGGTGGAGGCGGAAACAAATGGGCAGAGTTTCTTTCACCCTGGTGCCCCTGTTCACCAAGCAGTAAATAGGTACCTGGGAGTGAGACAGCTGCTATGGGCTGCATCCTGGAGGTGTGTAAAAAAAGGGAGGTCTGGTTGAGGACTGGGCCGCGGGGACGCTAATCCCCGAAATCATCTCAAGATGACGTCTTGTAGAGAAGGAGCTCTCTTCTTCCTGTGGTCTCCACCACCTCATTAATACTATAAAAATACATTTATACCTAACTTACCTACTTTCATCTATCATACAAGCTATCTACATGTACGTGTTTAGCCGTCGAATAACCACAACGACCACAGGGTAGGGGGCCCATTTACCTTTTCGTGACCTGGGCAAAAACAGCCCAGGCCCTAGTCTGGATCAGTATCCTTCAAGTTGTTCACTATTTTAAGTCTTGACGAGATCCACACTATCATGTTTGGCTTAAAATGTTGTTAGACCTGTGGCCCTCAACCGTTCCTGGTACAAGATCCACTTAGTTCTGGGAATTGAATTCTGGAGCAATTAGTTGCAAGACAGTAATGGTAACCTGTGCACATATTGCACAACCCGGTCCGTCTAATTACCACAAGCTAACACAAGCTACACAAGCTTCACAAAGCTTCCTGGCAATACGTTAGTAATGAATAAATATGATATATTTACTCATTATAATGTTGGTGCTGAATGTACACCACAAAAAAACAAATTTTAATCTGAAAAAGTATCTTTTTATAAAGAAATTAGACGAAAATAAAAAGCTTGTGACGCCAAATCAAGTCGACGATCCAAGCTTCGGTTAGGTTAGGTTAGGTTAGGTCAGCTTAACCCAACATATATTTATTCATTACTAACGTATTGCCAGGAAGCTTTGTGTAGCTTGTGGTAATTAGACGGACCCGCACAACCCTCCATGGGATGGTATTGATATAGTGCAACACTGCACTGAGCAACTAGCAATACTCTCGATAATAATGTGAAGACGTCAAGAACATCAAGTCATTTAAATATTTACCCAATTTACAGTACAATTAGGCTGTTAGGAAATTCATTTAACTAGTTAAGGTTATATGTGAGCACCTAAGAGAGGCCGAGATGGTGGTCCATGCACAGACACCCATCCAGGACTTGCCTTGACCTAACAGACCGACTGACAGCCATATCCTCCACCCACCTACATCATTCATAACGCTTAAGATAATACTTTACCATGACTAAAGTTTGTATTCTCGGACTTGCAATAACCACATTTATAGCCACTATGATCACGCATATACTCGACAATTGAACAGGAAGGATCCTGGTCTCCTTCAGCCATGTTTACTACTGGGCTCCCGAGTGGGGCCGGTCACGTCGTATACTGTAGTGTACGACACACTCACTTCCCTACACCACAGACAACTTCGTTCACTGACAACTTTGTACATACAAACCCTTGCCTTCGTATATGCGCTGGGTGGTGTTCGCTGCTCTTCTCGTCTGAATAAATACAAATACAAAATACAAAAACAAATACAGATTTTTATTCAGGTAAAGTACATACATACAAAGTAAGATACAAAAGTTGATGGATTTATAGATAGAGCTAGTACATACAATGCCTAAAGCCACTATTACGCAAAGCGTTTCGGGCAGGAAAAACACTGAAGACTAAAACTTAATACTAATTGAGATTAAAGTATAAAATGTGGTGAGAAAATATAAAAATAAAAAAGGGGGAACATGGCAGAAAAACAGCAAAAATACAATTTGGTCGACAAACAGCATTGTTTCAAAATAACAGACATGGGTTGACATTTTGGGGGTGAGGTAGGTTACATTGAGTTAATCAGGTAGTGTTTAGTTTTTATCTTAAACTGGTTAAGAGAGGTACAGTCTTTAACATGATTGGGAAGTCCATTCCACATTTGAGGTCCCTTGATTTGTAAAGCATTTCTAGTTTGATTAAGTCGTACTCTTGGAATATCAAATAGGAATTTGTTTCTGGTGTGGTGCTCATGGGATCTGTTACAACCTTTTAGAAAGCTTTTAAGGTTAGGATTGACATTACAGTTCAGCGTTTTATATATATATAATACACATGAGAGAATGTGCAGTGACTTAATATCTAACATATTCAGATATTTGAGTAGGGGTACCGAGTGATGTCTGGGGCCAGAATTGGATATTGTCCTAATAGCAGCTTTGTGTTGAGTAATTAGAGGACGTAAATGATTTTATATAATAAATAAATAAATAAATATGTTTATTCAGGTAAGGTACATACATACAAGTGATGTTACATTAATGGATTGATATATAGATAGAGCTAGTACATACAATGCCTAAAGCCACTATTACGCAATGCGTTTCGGGCAAGAAAAACATTAATATCTAGAACTTAATACTAATTGAGCATAAAGAATAAAAAGTGTTGAAAACAAATTCAAATAAAGATAAAAAAAAGGGGGAACATGACTGAAAAAGCAGCACAAATACAATAGGTTGACAAACAGTGTTGATTAAAAAAAAAAAAATAATAATAATAAAATAAAATAACGGACATGGGTTGACAATAAAGGAGTGAGGTGGGTTACAGGGAATTTATTAGGTATTGTTTAGTTTTTATCTTAAACTGGTTGAGAGAGGTACAGTCTTTAACATGGTTGGGAAGGTCATTCCACATTCTGGGTCCCTTGATTTGTAGAGCATTTCTAGTTTGATTAAGTCGTACTCTAGGAATATCAAAACTGTATTTATTCCTGGTGTGGTGCTCATGGGTTCTGTTACAACCTTCAATGAAGCTTTTGAGGTCAGGATTGGCATTACAGTTCAGCGTTTTATATATGTATAATACACAAGAGAGAATGTGCAGTGACTTAATATCTAACATATTCAGAGATTTGAGTAAGGGTACCGAGTGATGTCTGGGGCCAGAGTTGGTTATTGTCCTAATAGCAGCTTTGTGTTGGGTAATGAGAGGACGTAAATGATTTTGGGTAGTAGAACCCCAAGCACAAATACCATAGTTGAGGTATGGATAGATGAGGGAGTAATAGAGAGTAACCAGGGCAGGGCGGGGTACATAATATCTGATCTTAGAAAGAATGCCAACAGTTTTTGAAACTTTTTTTGATATATTTAGAATGTGACCCTGGAAATTCAGCTTGTGGTCGATGAGAACGCCAAGGACAGGGTAGTAAAGGACATTTTGGGTAGTAAAAACCCCAAGCACAAATACGATAGTTGAGATAAGGATAGATGAGGGAGTAATAGAGTCACCAGGGCAGGGCAGGGTACATAATATCTAATCTTAGAAAGAATGCCAACAGTTTTTTTTAACTGTTTTTTTATATATTTAGAATGTGTCCCTGGAAATTCAGCTTGTGGTCAATGAGAACGCCAAGGAATTTGCCATCTACTTTGTTACAAATTTGGGTATTGTTAATCCTGAGATTTATTTGATTTGAGGATTTATTGCCAAAATATAGAAAGTTTTGTCAATATTGAGGGTGAATTTGTTGGCAGTGAGCCAGTGATGGACTTTATTTAGCTCAGTATTCACTGTGACATTTAGAGCAAGGGGGTCAGGACTGGAGTAAATGAAGGTTGTGTCGTCAGCAAATAGAATTGGTTTGAGGTGTTGGGAGGCATTTGGAAGGTCATTAATGTAGATGAGAAAGAGGAGAGGGCCAAGTATGCTGCCCTGAGGAACACCATTTTATACTTTAATCTCATTTAGTATTAAGTTTTAGTCTTTAGTGTTTTTCCTGTCCGAAACGCTTTGCGTAATAGTGGCTTTAGGCATTGTATGTACTAGCTCTATCTATTAATCCAACAAACTTTGTAAAATCTCTTGTATGTATGTACCTTACCTAAATAAACATTTATTTATTTATTTATGTTGGTCCAGATGTGATCAAGAGCCATGGCAGTACTATCAGTGATTCTAGTAGGTCTAGTTATTAAGGGTATGAGGAAGCAGGAATTCATACAGTCGTGGAAATTAGATTATGTTTGTTTGATAAATGCTGAGAGCATAGAGGGGAATTGTCTTACTGTGGATGAAATGCTAAGTGATCATTTTGCATTACAAATACAGCTTAAACTAGCTAAAAAGAATGCCTGCCTTCAGAGGAAAAGGTTAGAGTTTAGTGAGGGAGAATTAAAGGGTCTTGTTGGTCATCACTTTTGCGCTCTTCTCAAAAAAAAAAAAAAAAACTTGTCCAGATGTGCGCGGCGTTTCAGGGGATCGAGCGGCAAAACTGAAAAGTAGATATATTCTTTTCATTGTCCTGACAATAATTTTCGATGTACGTATTTCATTTTTGTACCAATGTTTTCGCAATAGAATGTTCTAGAAGAACATAAGTATAAAATGTCACCAAAACATGAGTTAGACCAGCACCAAATAAAGAACTGCGTCGATCACTAACCGTGAGCGCCAAACAGCGACGATCGTTTCTACTCTTTTCAGGGTTGTCAACTCCACACTTGTCCTACAGCGTTAAATTTGATATCACTGAGATCAACATAAAATTTCCTACGAGTACATATGCATATAAATATAGAATCAACGTCGCAGCCCACCCGCAAGAGTGTGGGAAGTGGCTGAATTGTTACTCGTTACCGCACACCCAACGGCACATCAGCGAAACTGCTATTGAAAAGTGTATACTCTTTTCACTGTTCTGACATTAATTTTCGATGTACGTATTTCATTTTGTACCAATGTATTTGCAATAAAATTTTCTAGAAGAACATAAATATAAAAGATCACACAAGGATGCGTTAAACCGGCACCAAATAAAAAACTACGTTGATTACACTCGTCGAGTCAACAATACAATGGTCTTACCACGATGATGCAATGCCATGCCGTTCTCCCAAATAGGCTATGCGGCTATTAAAGAAAACGAACATTTCATGGCGAACATTTGTAAACTATCCCAAAGTCGATCGGATAGAAAATGGATTTTATACAAATATTTTTTCCAGTGACTCGTGAGCGAGTCTCTTACGCGCACTCGAGAGAAAAATTGGTTACCCTTGCAAGCGTAACGGATGCGCGAAAGTGAATGAGTGACTCTTCGCTCATGCCCTTTTGCGGAATTTTGCTAAACTGCTATAGGCAATTTTATAGCCGCTGCTGCTAATGTCAACTGGGAGTTCGAATTAGGTAACATAGGGGACATCAACCTAGCAGTGTAATCTTTTCTTCAAAAAACTCTCAGCCTTTATAACATCCACTGTCCTATGCTAACGAAACAAGTCACAACTAAAAGGCTAAACAATCGTTGGCTTGCAAAGGGTTAGTTTAGTTCATTTATTATGCACCCCATACCCATCTTGTGGGCGGTAGTAGAAAGGGTTACAGAGGCACATAATGGGCTCAGGGACTGAACCCCACAATTCATTTAGCTAAGCAAATTACAATCTTGATGAGCTAGTTACAAAATTCAATATAAGTCACATCAACAATGGGTTCGAGATCGACCTCAAGTACAGGTTCTAAATTAAGCAACTGACATATGTGGAGAGCTAGTGTCAAAATTTATGTTTGTCCTGCACACCGCCCCCCATTCAAGTTCAAGTATGTTTATTGAGATAAGCAATAAATACATCTCGAAGGGATAGAGTAGCTTAGGCAATTTCTACCCCCTTCTAGCCTCTACTTCAAGTCCCTCAAGGGGCGCACAAATGCTGTGAGTACAAATACACAAATTACAATACAAGAATCCCATTTAACATTGCAGGTTAATATAGTAAGTACAGCATATAATTGTTACACTCTTGGGGCAAAATTCTTGTAGCTCCTAAGTATACTGTCTTTCATACCATTATCACACATCCAAACAATTTGATGTGGTACACTATTTATTTCCTTATTTCTATAGTTTTCAATAAGTTGACACTCTAATACATAATGTTCTAAGGTGTGGGCGTGCGGCATACTACATAATTTACACTCCTTATCTTTTTATTTATTTATTTATTTATTTATTTATTTATATATATACAAGAAAGTACATTGGGTTTGTGAGAATACATTGAATAGTACAGTATATACAATCTTGTAAAGCCACTAGTACGCGCAGCGTTTCGGGCAGGTCCTTAATCTAACAGATAATTTTAAGTAGGTAATTTCTATCAGAATTGATAAATGATAACAAATACATTGCAAGAGAAAAATGAGATGAGAGAGATTAGTAAGTATGTTAAAGCACATTGTTATATTAAAGCTCTGATTGATTACATTGACAGCTTGATTGGTAATTTAAACAAGATTAATAGACACCATACAGCAGATTGACAGCACATATAAGACAGCAATGATCACAATGGTAAAGATGTTCAGATTGGGTGCATAAAGATTGGGAGACTGGGTAACTGACTGGGTAACTATTAGAACTATTAGTCAGTAACTCAGTAGCAATAGATACAGATAAACAAGATTAATAAACACTGACTGACATCAACACCGTATTGCTTGAACTTGAACGTATTGCCAGATATATTTGTATCCTAATCTTAATCTCATGTAAATTGAATCCTTCCAAGTAGACTTTCCTTTACCATAAGTGAAGGACGAATTTGTATTTATTATTGAATAATTCTTAAGTGTGTTACTACTGTCCACCATTGCCATTCTCTTTATCATTTCTTCACCCTCCTGAATCACCTTGAGTCTTGTTTTTATTTGTTTCAAGGTTAACTGACATACAACATCAACAAGAGTTTTTTCAGTGGCTCTCTTCGCTATGTCATCAACTACCTCATTCAACAGTATTCTCACATGTGAAGGGATCCACATTAATCTTACTTTATACCCAGTTCTTTCTAATTTCTTAATATTCTCTCTACACTGTATCACAATATTCCGATATACTGGGCTTCTGCTATTTAAAGACTCTAACGCTCCTCTGCTGTCAATAAAGAAGCACAGATTGGGTATTATCAAGCTGTCAATGTAATCAATCAGATCTTTAATATATTAATGTGCTTTAATATACTTACTAATCTCTCTCATCTCATTTTTTTCGTGCAATGTATCTGTTATCATTTTATTAATTCTGCTAGAATTTACCTACTTAAAATTATCTGTTAGATTAAGGACCTGCCCGAAACGCTGCGCGTACTAGTGACTTTACAAGAGTGTAAATACTATGCTATGTATTCTCACAAACCCAAGGGACCCCAATGTACCTTCTTGTATATAAATAAATAAATAAATAAATATCCCATCTTCCAGTACTGATGTTCAGAACTATCTTACAGGTAACTATCCACAGTCTCTGTACCTAACACCTGCAAATTCCACTGATGTTAATGAGATAATCCTTTCCATTAAAACCAAGTCTAGTGCCCTTGAGGAGATACCAACTTTAATTTACAAAAAAGTCTCCATTGCTCTTCAACAAGTCACTTGAACTCCAAACCTTTCCAGATATTCTAAAAAAAGCGAGAGTAACCCCTGTCCACAAATGTGGTGATCTCACAGATGTTAACAACTACAGACCTATATCAATCCTGCCAAACTTGTCAAAAATTTTTGACAAGGTTTTCTCCCCGGACAGAAAATATTTTTTCGTGAACGATTGAACGATTTTATGATACTAATTTTGGTACATTTTTTTTATTAAGACGCTTAGGTATACACAGCAATGTGCTGCTACCGTGTTCTACATGAAAGATATAAAAAACTAGCTATAAGTTCATCTAATACTCCCATCTCACAGGATGGTTATAGTCATACATTAATCAGGGAAGAAAATACAAAAACAAACCAACTTTGACTAAACAACAACTTGACGATTTTCACGAGAAATAAGCAGTCAATTATGGAAACATTGTAGTATAATTAGTGGTACGAGTTTGTACAAGAGTTATAACAATAGTTTAGGGTCGGGCGCGTGAGTGTGGGGGCGAGACAGGAGTGACCCTCCACGTCTCCAGCTGTTCACTCATCATTACTCACCCCAACAAGGTCTAAGAGTCACATAGACTTGAGATAATATAAGATACTACCTACGCTCGAGATAATTTTGAGGTAAGTGGGAAGATTTGGCTGGGGGAAGGAATCATTATCACATTGTTATTGTACACTTGAAGCCACAGTAACTGGCTACACATTATCACGGTAAGAGTTATGATAAAGTTGTACACGACTCTTAGTCCTCATAAGATCCTTTACCCATACAACCGTATATGTTGTTATATTAGCCTAGGTTAGGCTGTGTTAGGCACTCTTAGGTTGGAATGGGTTAGGTTAGGTTGGGTTGGGTTAGGTAAGGTTAGGGGTTTTAAACTCCATTGGTAAACTCTCTACTCTAAATTTGATGCAAAGCCTAACTTCTAAGCCAATCTAAGGTGTAACCCAAGGCAACCATAGCTAGACACCATTGCAGCACCACTGGTCTACATTATTCACCTAGTTATGCTTACGGGGTTGAGCTCTGCTCGTTTGGCTCGCCTCTCAACTGTCGATCAATCAACTGTTACTAACTACTAGTACTGTAATAACTTTTTTACACACACACACGCCCCAGGAAGCAGCCCGTAGCACTTGTCTAACTCCCAGGTACCTATTTATTTACGTCTAGGTAACAGGGGCATAGGGTGAAAGAAACTCTGCCCATTGTTTCTCGCCGGCGCCCGGGATCGAACCCGGGACCACAGGATCACAAGTCCAGTGTGCTGTCCGCTCGGCCGACCGGCTGTGTTGGTGACAATTTTGTCATTATCTTTTCCCAATATTTTACTTGTAACCAGTAAGAAACTGAACCATGGAGCTAAATAACTGACAAATATTATTTAAGTATTTCTGACACATTTCCTGATCAGTTGCTTGTTTTGACAGTACAGTACTGAACAGTATTTAAAGTCATTTCTTGAAACATTTTAAACATTTGTAACTATTGCAGGAATTGTTAAGAATATGCAATAATGACCTAATTTATTTATTTATTTATTTATATACAAGAAGGTACATTGGGATTGTGAGGATACATAATATAGTAATTACAATCTTGTAAAACCACTAGTACGCGCAGCGTTTCGGGCAGGTCCTTAATCTAAGAAAATTTTAAGTAGGTAAATACTTGCAAAATTTATAAAAAATGATAAGTTACAAAGCAAGAAAAAAAAATAAAAGATGAGAGAAAATTGTAGGTATATTAAAGCACATAGGTAGCTCAGATTGATTGCAATGACAGCTTGAATGGTAGTTGACAAAAATTGGTAGGCACAATACAGCATATGGCTAGCACATAAAAGAAGACAGCAATGAACACAATGATAACGGAACACTAATGGAAGCAGAACCTTTAAGGTTTTGAGAAATTATTTGATATACTGTACAGTAGTACTATTGGAATTGGCAACCAATCAGGAAATTCTTTATATCTCAAACTTAAATATCAAATCTTAAAACTCAAATCATAGTTGTTAGCTAAATACAGTGGAACCTTGGCACTCAAACTTAATTTGTTCCTGAAGACCAATCGACTGCCAAGCTATTCGAGTACAAAATTTGTTTTCCTATAAGGAATAATGTAAATAGAGTATACCATTCCATACCACAAAATAAATAATGTTAATGCAGTCAATAAATAAATGAAATGAATGCAAATAAAGTATACACTTTACCTGCACTTAGGAGAGTTAATGGTGTATCTGATCTGACCTGAAACTCTTAACTTGACAGATGTAATAGATCACATAATCACCACACCATAAATATATATCTCTTTGAGATCCCCAAAAGTCAAACTAAATATGTGAAAACACTATGCAAATCAAGGACCTAGTCTATGGAAATAACTCCCTAAGAAATTTAAAAGCTGTCCAATCTATGCCTTATTCCAAAGTAAAACCAAAAAGTACCTAATTTCATCCTCATAGTTTCCTACCTGGTGCTTTAAACTCACACTGTATCTTGTGCTACCCAATCCCCCAATACATGTGCCTAAACCATACAACTTCACCATTGTATCATCACTGCTATCATCTTATATCATGGTTGTTATATTGAACACACATTTTACTACAGTATACCGAGAAATAATCCTTAAATTATGCTACAATGTACCTGTTGATAATCCTCAAATTATGTTACAATGTACCTGTTGATAATTCTCAATTTTACTATAATAAACCTACTAATCTTCATCAAATTTTCTTACAATGTAACTGTTACCATTTTTCAATTTTGCTAGAAATTACCTACTTAAAATTATCTTTTAGATTAAGGACCTGCCTGAAACACTGTGCGTGTTAGTGGCTTTACAAGAATGTATAAACATCAATGCTATGTACTCTCATAAACCCATTGTACTTGCTTGTATGTATATAAATAAATGAATAAATAAAATTGTACTGTATGTGGAAGGTGGTGAGGCAGATGAAGAGGAATGTTATTATAACAATTATTCTTTGGCAGGGAAATCATCTACCATTATCACAACTTTGTCAAGGGTGATATTTTTCAAGAAAACTTTGCACTTCTCCCCCTATTTAGTAGACATATCTTATATACAAATACAAATGTTTATACAAAACAATGTGTGTACAAAGAACATAATAGTACTGTAATGTAAAATTGTAGGGACAGGAGTTACACAATCTCTGAAGCCACAATTACACAAAGCGTTTTGAGCAAAAATGTAAAATATACAGTATGGACAAAAAAAATTAACCGAAGGTGTGAGGAAATAACCGAATGGAAATACGGGGTGCAGTTTAGAACAGCAACTGAACTCTTTCTCATAACATCTTGTGTGGAACATAACAGAACATGGAGTAATAAAGTAATTTAAGGTCAATGGACCCACAATAAAAATGAACCAGAACATAAAGAACACTTCAAACAAAGAAACACTTCAAACAAAGAAACACTTCAACAAAGAAATACAAGAGATTAGATGCTGCAACGAGCTAGGTTGGTTTCCTTTCTGGATGCCCTGAAGCTGCCCTGATTGGTTATAGAGACCTGGATTTGTGGGTGTTAGTCGCCTCGGCTTTGGTTTCATCAACACCCCTTGTCCTTTTCCTGTTGTGGTTCATCCTGTTCTCATACCCCCCCCCCCCCTCTGCTCCTGGCTCCCAAACGTCTGAGGGTTTCGGATTCGGGGCAGGTTTTTCTTGGTGGTGAGACTCGGGCAGCTTCAGGGACTGCCCCTTTCAGTTCGGCCATGGAGGCATTCGAGCCTGTTCCTCCTGCCGGGGCTTTTGGATTGCACCAGCAGACCCCTTTCATCCCTACTTTTCCGGTGGACTCCAGAGGTCGAGCGTTTGGAGGATGGCTCGTCTCCGGGTCCTGACATAGTGGGGTATGTGAGGGTGATTGCACCACATAGTGGGGGATGCAAGGGTGATAGCACCGCACAATTGTATGTAGTGGGTTAGTCACATACACCAAGGATTCTTGCTAAAGTAGATTGTGTCCTGACTTTCATGTGTCTGCATGGTCACCCATCCAGTTCTAGGCCTTACACACGAGTCATAATCATAGTGCTACATTAAAAGTACTTCAATTTGTTTTATTTTGAAAGTCTTTTGTATCAATTACCTTTGAAAATAGTAATTTATTATTTTTCGTTTCCCATTTTACAGAGCATGGCATTCATTGGAAATCTTTTCAAGTCCTTTATGGGGTCAGAGGGCCCTTCAGGAAATACAGTTACTGAAGTTGGAATTTCACAATTTACCAGGATACCAGTAAGTTTTAAGTACTGTACTGTACACTAAAATCTTGATTTGCTGAAAAAATTAAGATGTTTTGGCTTGCTCTTTCAAGAGACCTTAGTTTCTTGGCTGACCAAAAATAAATTGGGTCTTCCTTCAGGCAGGCTACTTGGTTTGTTAATACTTGGGTGCATCTTTGCTGTCTAAGATCATTATTTCCTTGTTTCTTGGCAGACTAAGACACCTGATTATCATGTTCAGTAACAAAATCCACTCACAATTTATCTATCCTCATTAAGTCTATGTGTGTGTGTGCTGTTACTGTAAATACTGTATTGAGTGCTATATTTGTTAATCAAGTACAGTGTTTTGACTTCATATTGCTACTAGCACTTTTTTTATACATGTATATACATTGTAATTTTCTTAGCACTAAGAACATTACTTGCTTCATAATTAAGTCTAGTGATTACATACTGCAGTAGCGCTCTCATCAGTACAGTATATCAACATTAGCAAATTTTGTTTCAGATTCAGTACCGTGAAGACTGCCTTGTCCTGTATGGTCCAACACACAACAACACCTATGAACTCCTCATGCATCAGTCAGTTCATAACTCGCTTTCTAAAGCTTACAGGTGGGAATCGATTAAAATCCAATTGATTGTTGATGTGTGTGAGATAACAGAGTATTTATGAATTACTAAGTAGTGTAATGCTCAAGGTTCACAACTCTTCTTTCTTTGCAATTTATCAAACTGTAATTACCTAACAACTGTAATTACCTAACTGTAATTTACCTATCTAAAATAACAGGTGTGCAGTGCAGGGGATTACCCCCTGCACTGCACACCTGTTATTTGCAAAAACTTCAAAGTGCAATTTTTAACCACTGGACTGCGCCAACCGAGAAAACTCGGTCGGTGGGAAACTGCGCCAACCGAGAAAACTCTTTTTGATTTTTTCGTACCCATTCAAAATGTATGTGCAATTGGTTGTGTACGAAATGGACTCTTAGGACCTCCAGTGAGAGACAGCCATCTTGGAAAACATTCCCAGAATGCCCTAAGGCTGCTGACTGGGTTAGTACTGAGTGAGCAACCATGGGTGGCGCACGCGCCTCAGTATTGAAAAATCGCGCTCTGTCGGTGAAATTCAAATCTTATTGTTTGAAGAACATAAGGGTCATGATATTAGTGAAGCTAGGCGCAATAAGGACCTAACACAAAGATCGGATGCAAGTGATACAGCACCTATGAGGACGGTACAGCAAGCGTATCTAGGTGTAGCTCTGAGCACTACCCTTGCCATCTCCAGTTTATATAGATGATACATAAATGATTCGTTTTCTGCATTCAGTGATGATGTATCTAGTACAAGTAGCATAGATGAACAGTGTTAGCAGCTTCCATGGTGGTGTTTTCCATAGATATTTTCAAGAATAGCTGAATCTCTTCCAGACTAACTGACACTCTTTGAGGTTTGCTGAATCTCTTCCAGAATGCCTGAATCTCTTTTAGACTGACGGACCCTCTTCGAGGGTGGCTGAATCTCTTCCTGTGTGGAACCTTACAAAGCGATCTTTTCAAGACTACCTTACAAACTGATCTTTTCCTATGATCTTTTCAGTACTACCTTATGCTTTACAAGCTTGGCTACATACCACCTTCAAGTACTAAAGCCAAGGGTGTTCGTGAGTGCATTATTTGCAAGCATACAACGAAGAAACAGCAAAAATCTATCTGTACTGTACCTGGTGCAATGAGAGCGAAGTCGCGCTGCGTACCATGGACTACTTCATTGTTACGGCCCTCTCGGGTCGCAACCGGGTTCTTACTCTGATGTTGTTAGAGTTTGGGTATTTGGCCCCAAGCTAGTAGTGGCTTTCAAGGGATGTGATCCGTAACGCAAGTAAATTAAAGGGGAAGGGAAATAAAGGCAAAAACTTAATAGTATAATTATTACCATCACCAAAAATACTATATAAACGATTACACGGGGGGGGGGGTATAAACACTAGAATGTACAACGTTGTCTTCTACTGAAGAATCTGGACGTTCACGGTGCTCACGATGCTAAGCTCTTGGTGCTCTTGTGGCCTCACTATGAATCCTTAGATCCTCTTGAGTCTACCCTGGCCACAGGCCAGCCAAATCACAGTTCCACTGGGGGCACCGTCGTGGAGGCCATCAACCACAAGTCCAGCCGGTAGCTGGCAGGTTCCAAACAGCAGCGCTGGTTAGGCCACTCCACGACCGATACTAAGGTCGCGAACCCTAGTCGGGAGCCTCGTGTGATCCCACAGACCACTCTCCTCGCCACAACACCCCAGTGGTTAAGTGTCTCCACCAGTCAGTCCTGGGTACTACGATCCCTCAACTGCCACGTCACGGGCAGGGTAACACCACAGTGTTCATCTGGGGGGGCGACTCACAGCTGCTGCAGCAAACACTTGGAGACAAGTCGGCTGCCTTGGGTAGACTGATCCAACTTCCATTACAGCAGTCCCAGGTCGACTCTGTAATCAGACACGTCATCAGTAATAGAGACACACTAAGACACCTTACTTACAGGCGTAGACACAAACGCCCGACGTATCCACTCCATAGATGGCGTTGCTGTCTAAGCCCCACCTCACCAGAGGTCAGCAGCGGCTGTGTTATGAGCTGATCAGGACGGGAAACTAGCCCTTGTGGCTGGTATTTCCTGTCCTCACTTGATGGCGCCGTCCATTTGGAGGGGGTTTCGGGAGCTGACCCACAGATGGTGTGGTCGTCACTGCTCCGTGCTCGGACGCAGGGCTCGGGTCCGTAACATTCATTGATTACTACTCACTTTCGAAGTACTGAGTGTGTAATACAGTGTGTTACTGTGTAAATAGTGTGTGAAACTGTACATATTGTAATTTTAGTGAATTTTTAACAAGTAATATTGCGACAATAAACATTTATTGTGGACACATCACTGACACAAGTATCACAGTTTCATGGAACATTATGAACGTTCTACTGTATACATATTGTAAAGGACACAAATATGCATCATATACGATAAAAAAACAAATAAAACCGCATTGAAAATACATAGAACAAATAATTGAAAATATATTTGTGGCAACACGCAGTGCTTGAATGGCCCGCGCAGGCGGGCCATTCAAGCCCGTGCTTCACGCACAGGTGGCCAGCCCCTGATGACGTCAGAGCGCACCTTTTCCATGTTCCTGCAACCAAAGTAAGTGGAATTTGGTATTTATTTTTACATAGACATGTTCAGGGAAAGGAATTTATCATTTTACATAGAAAAAATAATTTTTTGAGAACACTTGATTTCATGCGCACAAGGGGAATTTCACAATATACTCGGTGCATCACAGTGGTTAAGGACATATTTTTGTTTTTATAAATGTTCAGGTAAAGTTAATATCAAAATGTTTCCAAACTAAACTATTTTCATTTCAAAACACAAAGAGTGATGAATCCATTAAAAAACATTAAAATATACTGTAGCCTAATTAAAAAAACGTACAACTCTCAAAACGACATTTGTTGGCTGGCGCAGTTGAGGGGTTAATAATAAAAAAAAAAGATGACTAACAGCTGTAATGCACTTGTACAATTGAAACTTATTTCTGTATTTACATTGTGTACAGTATATCTTTTTGTTAAGACTTAATTCTTCATTAACACTTACAATACTGTACTCTTATCAACACTTTTTACACTAATTTCTATGCCTTTCAATCATGTTTTATATCATCATTACTGGATGCTGCATGACTTGTCGACGGGAATTCAGCATCGGCAGGTGTAGCATGGCTTGTAGGGCATTCATTGCTGGCAGATGCTGCATGACTTGTTGATGGGAATTCAGCATCAGCAGGTGCAGCATGGCTTGTAGGGCATTCATTGCTGGCAGATGCTGCATGACTTGTTGATGGGAATTCAGCATCAGCAGGTGCAGCATGGCTTGTAGGGCATTCATTGCTGGCAGATGCTGCATGACTTGTTGATGGGAATTCAGCATCAGCAGGTGCAGCATGGCTTGTAGGGCATTCATTGCTGGCAGATGCTGCATGACTTGTTGATGGGAATTCAGCATCAGCAGGTGCAGCATGGCTTGTAGGGCATTCATTGCTGGCAGATGCTGCATGACTTGTTGATGGGAATTCAGCATGAGCAGGTGCAGCATGGCTTGTAGGGCATTCATTGCTGGCAGATGCTGCATGACTTGTTGATGGGAATTCAGCATCAGCAGGTGCAGCATGGCTTGCAGGGCATTCATTGCTGGCAGATGCTGCACGACTTGTCGATGGGAATTCAGCATCGGCAGATGCAGTATGGCATCTATGGCATTCGTTATAGCAGGATGCTGCATGACTTGTTGATGGGAATTCAGCATCAGCAGGTGCAGCATGGCTTGTAGGGCATTCATTGCTGGCAGATGCTGCATGACTTGTTGATGGGAATTCATCATCAGCAGGTGCAGCATGGCTTGTAGGGCATTCATTGCTGGCAGATGCTGCATGGATTGTTGATGGAAATTTAGCATCAGCGGATGCAGCATGGTTTGTATGGCATTCAAGCCATACAAGCATGAATCTGCTTGCAGCATCTGCCAGGATTCATTGCCAGCAGATGGGTGCAGCATGGATTGTAGACGAAGATTTTCACGGACCATTGAAATCATGAATTTATCAATTTTTGTCTGAATCTGATTACCTCTGGCTAATGTTCTGAGACAGTAATGTCCTTCAAACTTGAATTATGTCCAACAGTGATAAGTTCCAGATACTTGGCTGTGGTGGAAATGAGGAACTAAATTGAAATGTATGGTTCAAGACATATTCAGACTTACTCTTAGAAGGAAGGCAACATGTAAAAGATCTTTGAATTATAATGTCTGACAACCTAACATTTAGTGAACTAAATGTAAAGGCTTGGACAACCAAGCAAATATAGCATCAGTCAGGAAAATGATAGGGTGGATTATAAGAATGTTCAAATCCAGGAATCCCACAGCATTGCTAATACAGTACTTCTTAAATCATTGGTACTGTCATATCTTTAGTAATTCTCAATTCATACTTTCCGTTTCAGAGTAGATTTTTGAAATACTGTGACCCCCTCCATTTTCAAATGTAATCCGTTCCCAGAGATGGGTCGTTAACCGAAAATTCTCAAACCGAAACAAATTTTCCCATAAGAAATAATATAAATTTAATTCATCCGTTTCACATTCCCAAAAATATTAACTTCAAAATGTATTTCATACATAATACTACAAATATTTTGTACTACAGTATGTACAAATTATATTTTACCTTTTCGATGACTCTTGTTGGCATATGGAAGATGGTGAGGAGGGGGGAGGGAGAGGTGTTAGTGTTTGGAAGGGTAGACCCCTTCCATTATAACATCGGGCAGTGAGGAGTTCTCTGGGATACTTTTTTTACGTTTTGCAGGCATACCACTAAGACCTGGTTGTGGCTCACTGTTTGGCTGTCTCACTAAGAACCTTTCCATAGAAACTTATTTACCCTACATTTTAACACTCGTCTGTAGTGTGACATCACATTGTCATTAATAAGGTCTGAGCAACAGCCTGCTACAGTTTGAGCAACAGCCTGCTACAGTTTTATCTGGGCGAGTCTTTCGAGCAAAACTTTGCAGTTGTTCCTATACTTCACACATTTTCTTAATGAGGAAGGGACATTCTCTACTCACAACTATTTTCTTAGGTTGAACTTTACCACTGACTTTCTTGGGACCCATGGCATGATATATAATAATTACTTTTATGTTAAAAAACGAAAAAAGCAAAAAAATAATGAAATTCTTTACAAAGAATTCAAGCGCCATCGTCACTAGGTGGGAGGCACTGGTAAATTGAAGTGCGCCTCACCTGTGCCACCAGGAACCATTCGCTTGGTTGACCCATACGTGTATCAACAAATGCATCATCAAGCTAGGTAAAGGTCGTCAACCAAGTCAGATTTTACAAAGAAATTGAGATCGTAACCGAAAAATTCATAAAGAGGATCGGTTGTCAACTGAGGTTCCACTGTAGAGGGGAATACAGAGAACACACATGGCATGCATAGACATGATAAAGCACTTAAAATTTTTGGGACCGTCTCGAAGCTCTCAATGTACTCTGGAAAGGAGGCGAGAGAGAGAGAGAGAGAGAGAGAGAGAGAGAGAGAGAGAGAGAGAGAGAGAGAGAGAGAGAGAGAGAGAGAGAGAGAGAGAGAGAGAGAGAGAGAGAGAGAGAGAGAGAGAGAGAGAGAGAGAGAGAGAGAGAGAGAGAGAGAGAGAGAGAGAGAGAGAGAGAGAGAGAGAGAGAGAGAGAGATATCAAGTACTGTATTAGATACATGGAGAATACTAGAAGGAAAGGCTCCAAATTTTCACAGCAGAATAACAACTTAATGGAGTGAAGATATAGAAGGGAATTCCAGATAGAACCAGTGAGGAATAGAGATGCTAGAGGCACAATCTGAGAGCACTGTATTAATATTAGAGGTCCATGGCTGTTCAACACTCTACCAACAAGCATTAGAAATATTTCTGGAACAAAAGTGGACTACTTCAAAAAGCAGTTAGATTGGTTCCTGCAAGAAGTGCCAAACCAACCGGGTTGTAGTGGATATGTGGGCCTGCGGGCTGCACCAAGCAACAGTCTGTTGGACCAAGTTATCACAAGTTAAGCTTAGCCCCAAACTGGATTCAGGGAGTAGAACAACTCCCAGGACCCTCTCCAGGTATGCTTCAGGTAAAACAAGTCATTTTCCAGAAGTTTAATTTCTACAGTAACATGAGGTCAAGTTTCATGATGTGTAGATGCACAAAAATGCAGCTGTGTGCTATGGATGTCTGCCTTGCATTGTAAACATCATAACCAGCATTGTATTTACTTGTAACTGATCTTTGTACATAGATTTTACCAATCAGGATCTTCTGTGACACTATCATCGCAAAATTATCAGTTATTTATTTTATTGCTTAATTATTAAGTGATGCTGTAGACACAAGCTGCATAGCAATGCTGCGAGTTGTTGCAGCATGCACCACCTGTGGTCGCCCTCTCAATACTGAGGCCCTCACACTCTCCGGCTGTGAGGGGCCCTTTGGCCATTTTGACCCTTTGTTCCTTTGCGGGGAACCAAAGAGCCAAGGCTACAACCCCGCAAGCACAATTAGGTGAGTACCCAGGAGGGGGTACCAACGACTTTTTCCAAGATGGAGTCTGTTTACTGGAGGCGGGACTTTTAAATCTTTCAGAGTAGAGTACTTTAAATTATCCTATATTGATTCACCATAGTATGTTGTCACTAATATGGGGTAATATTCCTATTGCAGTACTGTATGTGATTGAAATACTGTACAGTATTATTATTATTATTCCTTGGAAACTCTGAAATAATAACTTTCTCCCTAATCATTTGATTCTATATTGTCTAACTTTTGTGTTTTCATAGTCTTTTCAGAACAGTTGATAACAGTGAAGCCCAAATTCGTTTCATTGCACTGAAGGAGGTGCTGCCCCCTTTGGCAGAACACATGCCTCACGAGATTGCCAATCAACAAGTTCTTCAGACTATTTGTGACCTGGTTCGAGACCATCCAACATGGACAGCGGCACACATTGCTGCCCATCTTGGCTATTCTCATCTTTTTTTGCAGCCTTCAGTACTTAGGTAAAGCAACACTCTGCTAGTATCTTAAAATTGATTTACATATAAAATATAACATAAAATGTAGCATATAAAATATAACATTTAAAATATAACTTATAAAGATATGAAGGTAAAGCTTTTGTAGAGATAGGTGTTATTACACTAGGAACTGGACTACCTACCCGATGAATACTTGATGATTTTGGGGATCAGTGTTCCCATGGCCTGGTTCCTGACCAGGCCTCCTGGTTGCTGGTTTGATCAACCAGGATAGGAAAGATTTTGACTACTTGCGTACCAAATCACAGTGATGTCTAGTCATAAGCTTATGACTAGGTTATATGTGTGGCAAAACAAGTGGAATTTGTATTAAATACAGAGGAACCTCGGGGAGACAAGCAGCCTGATCTATGAGCATTTCAGGTAACGAGCGAGCCACTCGCAGAAAATTTGTCTTGACTGACGAGCTTCCGCTCGATTAATGAGAAAACCACGTGGTGCTCCTTAGCGTTCCCACTTGTTCTCACAGATGCCTTCGATGATAGTGTTGTTGTTTTAACGGCAGAATAAGCATCCCTCTGCATTTATTTCTGCTTTTCTTTGATTTTTTGTGATTTTGTGACTACAATTTGTAACCCATGATGTCGGCAAAAAAGCTTCGTCCTAAAGATAGTGTTGCCAAGAGGAAGAAAGACACAATTGCTGTAGATGTGAAGAAGGCAATCATTTGTTTTTTATGTTTTTCAGGGTGGAACGGATTAATTGTATTTCCATTATTTTAAATGGGGAAATTCGTTTTGCAAGACGAACGCTTCACATGAGCAGCTTGGTGGCGGAACCGATTAAATTCATTAACCGAGGTTTCTTTGTACAGTACTGTATTTGATAAATTATTGACACACCAGACACCTCAAACATATCTATACAATTTATTTAATTCACCTGGACTCTAGGAGACTCGAACCATGAACCCCATGCGTGTGAGGCCACAGGTCTATTGACTGGGCTATTGAGTAGTCTTAACCCTTAAGCTGCTAAGGGGTCCTGAGGAGATTTACACCATTGTGCGTAAGAAAAAAAATTCTAAAAAATTATTTCGTCTTCTAAAAATGTTAATTTGTGTTCCCTGAGCACGGGGAAAATAATCGTAGGTGACATATTTTGGGCGCAATAGGCCGAGGAAGTCTGGCAAAATGTGGGCATTGACAGAGCGGTCGTCAGAGCTGGTCAGCGTCACCCGAGCTGACAGGTGGGAGTTGCCACAAAGATATTATTACCTAATTATTTCAATGTCTTTGATTGATTTTTTCTTAGTTTTCTTTTGCAGTAATATTATTCAATAGTGTGTAGTGTGATATATTTATATAATAAAAGGGGTGAATCATTGCTATACTCAAAAGTATGGTTACCTTGAGATTACCTTGAGGTGCTTCCGGGGCTTAGCGTCCCCGCGGCCCGGTCGTCGACCAGGCCTGGTGTGCATATTAGTAATTCAATTATTATGTTTATAAAACAATAAACAAATAGTTTTGCTGTTATTACACTCTATACACAGGTTGTATATATAAGTACTGTATCTCCATGTTTTGTTCACCATAACGAACCACTAAGTTGGTATTGTGAGTCAAAAAGCAACGAAGAGTGACCGCCACACACCAGCCAGCCACTCTTTGCCATTCCCTCAACAATGCCTCACTCGCCCACTTTTTCCTCCCACCATCCTGTTTTTTATTTTATTCACTATATACAGTCGTTATATATATAAGTATCTACATGTTTTGTTCAACACAACTATACAACTAAGCTGATATAGTTAGTTCAGGCACTAAGAGTCGTCGCTATACACACAGTCAGCTGGCGGCTGCGTCCCTCGCACATTCAAGGTCACACGCACTAAACTTTCTCCGCCAACAATACCGTTTGTGGTGTTATTACACTATATACACACATTATATATAAGTATCTATATGTTTTGTTCACCACATCTGTACAACTAAGCTAATATAGTTAGTTCAGGCACTAAGAGTCATCGCTACACAGTCAGCTGGCGGCTGCCTCCCTCACTCATTCAAGGTCACATGTACTAAATTTCTCCCCAACAATACTGTTTGCAGTGTTATTACACTATATACACACATTATATATAAGTATCTACATGTTGTATGTGCTGTAACTGTACACATAATCTTGTAGGGTGCCCAAAGAGCATAGTGGCCACCCTCCACACAGCCAGACAAGTCATGCAGACGACGCCACCTCCGTCACCCAAATGGCTCCTCCCAACATAATCCTTTTGTTGTTATTACACTAATACACACATTATATATAAGTATCTACATTTGTGATCACCATAGAGAACCACTGAGCTGGTATGGTGAATGCAGACAATAACAGGTGGCCACACAGTCAGTAAATGATGCTATCTCTCTCCGTCCCTCAGCATTACTCCTCCCACAGTGCTAATTATGACAACAATCCTGGTCATTTTTATCACAGTCAGGGATCATCTGTAATACTGTACTGTCATCGCTAAATAATAGCAGTTATATATTTATTTTGAAATTTTTCGGTTATACTGTGGTCACAAGCTGAACAGCAATGCTGTTTGCTCATGCTGCGTGCGCCGGCCTTGGTTGCTCCAACAGTACTGTGACTCTCACACCGGAGAATATTGCCCACGATTTTTTTTAAACATGGCGTCTGTTTACAAGAGCCCTGAGGAAGCTAATGTGAACTCCGTGTAGCCGCAGGCCATTTGAATCGTGCCTGGCACCTTATGGTGTATATATACGCCATGCACACAGTGGGACATGTTACTCACGGTGTATATGTACGCCATGCGCAATTTAAGGATTAATAAGGAAATCTTCCAGAAGCAACTACTGCTGCCAAACTGGAATTTTTACCTTTCCCTAACTACTACTACTGAAGCTCAGATGAATTAGTTTTCCACGCTCCACCATATATATTGTCATCCACACTTGCGAGGAAATAAACATTTCCACGGAAGTGGAATCCACTTCTTAGGTCATCCATAATATCATCAATTCTAGGTAGCTTGTGGTTAACTCTTGGGACCATGATGTTTGTAGATATGTGGATTTGACTGTGGTCTTCTCCATTATGTCCTGGGCTGATATTCGGGCTTAAGGGTTTTGATATTCTAACAGGGGTCCTAGTGGTCCAGTATTTAGCCATTTTTACAGTCCCAGTCGGTTTTGCGTTGCTTTGGGCTGTGTCTCCCAGCCTGGTTCTCTTCTTCTTTCTGATGCCTGCCATCTCTCCTTCTCCCTGTTCTCATTCCTTTTGGTTAGCTTCATGGAGCCACTTGGGATGAGGGGGAGGGGTGGATTCATCAGTGAGTTGTTCATCATCTCCAGAAATTACGAGGGTAGTCGGTTGCAGGCAGGGGGCAGACTGCCCGGTAGTAGCGATTGGTAATGTAACGAGTTGCGAGATAGTTTGGGTGAATATCTTGTGTGTGAATAGTTTGCAGAGTTGCTGTACGGTATCTGTTGATCTTCGAGGTTTTGTTTTTTGTGAATCCTCCAGTTGTCTGTAAAGCTTTACTGACTTTCCCATTGGGGTGTTGAATTTTCACTCAATGCACATGTGTGAAGGGGCTAGGTTTTGGTTCTGGTCCTCAGTTGGCCAAAGAGAACATCTGCAATTGATGTGATCTTTTAGCCTGGCGCAATCTTAGCAAGATAGCTTCAAGAAGCCACCGGGGCTCATCCAGAAAGATGCATTTCATTACATTCAATGCTGGGGTTTTTAATGTGTTTGTGTATTATTTGTGCATGAGGATAAATTTATAAAATTCTATAAAAGTGTGCAAAGTATTTGATATGATTTTGTTGTATATGAAACCCAGCACATTGGTACAGATAATTTCCATATACTGTACAGTTTATACAGTAATATAATATTGTTTGACAAGTTTCATGCAGAGTATCTTAAGAGTGCCCATCACCAGCTGGTAGGTAGCAGAATAATGTTTGAGAGAGAATTCTGATGAATATGTAACTCACAAGCAGATAAATTAGTCAATTCTTGGTTTATTACCATCTTGAATGGTCAGGACCTTACTACTGTATATATTTATTGTATCTCACTTTGGATGTGAAGATAAATAACCATATATATATATATATATATATATATATATATATATATATATATATATATATATATATATATATATATATATATATATATATATATATATATATATATATATATATATATATATATATATATATATATATATATATATATATATATATATATATGTCGTACCTAGTAGCCAGAACGCACTTCTCAGCCTACTATGCAAGGCCCGATTTGCTTAATAAGCCAAGTTTTCATGAATTAATTGTTTTTCGACAACCTAACCTACCTAACCTAACCTAACTTTTTCTGCTACCTAACGTAACCTAACCTATAAGATAGGTTAGGTTAGGTTAGGTAGGGTTGGTTAGGTTCGGTCATATATCTACGTTAATTTTAACTCCAATAAAAAAAAATTGACCTCATACATAATGAAATTGGTAGCTTTATCATTTCATAAGAAAAAAATTTGAGAAAATATATTAATTCAGGAAAACTTGGCTCATTAGGCAAATCAGGCCTTGCATAGTAGGCCAAAAAGTGCATTCTGGCTACTAGGTACGACATATATATATATATATATATATATATATATATATATATATATATATGTCGTACCTAATAGCCAGAACGCACTTCTCAGCCTACTATTCAAGGCCCGATTTGCCTAATAAGCCAAGTTTTCATGAATTAATGTTTTTTCGTCTACCTAACCTACCTAACCTAACCTAACCTAGCTTTTTTTGGCTACCTAACCTAACCTTACCTATAAATATAGGTTAGGTTAGGTTAGGTAGGGTTGGTTAGGTTCGGTCATATATCTACGTTAATTTTAACTCCAATAATAAAAAATGACCTCATACATAGAGAAAAGGGTTGCTTTATCATTTCATAAGAAAAAAATTATAGTAAATATATTAATTCAGGAAAACTTGGCTTATTAGGCAAATCGGGCCTTGAATAGTAGGCTGAGAAGTGAGTTCTGGCTACTAGGTACGACATATATATATATATATATATATATATATATATATATATATATATATATATATATATATATATATATATTATTTATGTATGTATATTATTTATGTATGTATGTATGTATATATATATTTTAATTCTTATGTTTTTCTTCACTGTCTATGGTAATTGAAATATCAAATCTCCAAAATTCATTTTTATTTATGGTCTGACGCCTGAACGCGTTTCGTAATTCGTATTACATTTTCAAAGACTTAGTTTACACGTAAAACATACAATGTTCTGTCTTGTGTTTGTCACCTCACCCAAAATTTTTGTGCTGTTTCACCTCACCCAAAACGAGTATAAGTACGATGAATTTTATGTGTAAGCTAAGTCTTTGAAAATGTAATACGAATTAAGAAATGCATTCAGGCGTCAGATCATAAATAAAAATGAATTTTGGAGATTTGATATTTCAATTACCATCGACAGTGAAGAAAAACATTAGAAATATTGAGAAAATTTGTGTTAGAATTATTAATCTTACCTTTTCGGCCATATTCAACAGCATATATTTACAAGAAAGACTGCTACCAAAATATACTAATATATATAAATATAAATAAATATAAATAAATATATATATATATATATATATATATATATATATATATACAGAGCACCACTTGGTTTCCGAACTTTAGTTATCCGAAACTTCCAGTTTCCCGATTGGGGTTGGGGAGTCATGCTACCCGAACAAAGTTCGGGTAGGAAGGGGTCCGCCAAGCGTCACGCCGGCTTGTTGTGGTGGGTGGGAGATGGTCCAGTTTGCCCACTGTGACTTCACAGATTCACGGCCTATTATTCCTATTATTTTGAATTGCCATAAGGCTGGAATGTTCATTCTGTGCTTTTGTTTTACATATCTGCACAATCAAGAAACATCTGTGCACCATGTTGGCTCCAAATGCACACATTGCATCAGTGATGGCCGACTGGTGGGTGGATGAACGATGCAACTTAGGTGGGAGGCAGTATGAATGAGGAGGGGGGGAGAATCAGTGACAGAGGGGGAGAGAGAGATGCTAGGAGGGAGGGGGAGGTAGGGAGAGATGCTAAGAGGGAGGGGGAGGTAGGGAGAGATGCTAGGAGGTAGGCAGGAAGGGATGGAAGTAGTGAGAATTAGGGAGGGAAAGGCACGCTGGCAGGCACAGGCAGGCAGGCTGGCAGGCACAGGCAGGCAGGCTGGCAGGCACAGGCAGGCAGGCTGGCAGGCACAGGCAGGCAGGCACAGGCAGGCAGGCAGGCAGACAGGCAGGCAGGCAGGCAGGCAGGCAGGCAGGCAGGCTAGCTTGCAGGCAGGGAGTGAGTGGTAGTCACGCGGTTGAACCGCGTGACCTTGAGAGATGGGACGTAGGGGGCGGGTGGTTTGTTGGTGGTGGGGGTGAGACCGGCTCATTCCCGAAGATAAGCCTAACACACACTACCCGTTAGCATGATGGCAGGGAGGGAGGCAGGCTGGCAGGCTGGGAAGGAGGCAGACTGGCAGGCTGGGAAGGAGGCAGGCTGGGAAGGAAGCAGGCTGGGAAGGAAGCAGGCTGGCAGGCTGGGAAGGAGGCAGGCTGGCAGGCTGGGAAGGAGGCAGGCTGGCAGGCTGGGAAGGAGGCAGGCTGGCAGGCAGGGAAGGAGGCAGGCTGGGAAGGAAGCAGGCTGGCAGGCTGGGAAGGAGGCAGGCTGGGAAGGAGGCAGGCAGGCAGGCTGGGAAGGAAGCAGGCTGGCAGGCTGGGAAGGAGGCAGGCTGGGAAGGAAGCAGGCTGGCAGGCTGGGAAGGAAGCAGGCTGGCAGGCTGGGAAGGAGGCAGGCAGGCAGGCTGGGAAGGAGGCAGGCTGGGAAGGAGGCAGGCTGGGAAGGAAGCAGGCTGGCAGGCTGGGAAGGAGGCAGGCTGGGAAGGAGGCAGGCTGGGAAGGAAGCAGGCTGGGAAGGAGGCAGGCTGGGAAGGAGGCAGGCAGGCAGGCAGGCTGGGAAGGAGGCAGGCAGGCAGGCTGGCAGGCAGGGAAGGAGGCAGGCTGGCAGGCTGGGAAGGAGGCAGGCTGGGAAGGAAGCAGGCTGGCAGGCTGGGAAGGAGGCAGGCAGGCAGGCAGGAAGCGATATATGGGTGTTGAAGTGAACCGTGAACCACGTGACCTTTGAGAGTGTGTGTGTGTGTGTGTATGGGTTTGGGGTGGGGGGTGGGGGTGGTGTGTCGGTGGTGGGGGGAGAGGGGGTGGTGTGTCGGTGGTGGGGGGAGAGGGGGTGGTGTGTCGGTGGTGGGGGGAGAGGGGGAGGTGTGTCGGTGGTGGGGGGGGAGAGGGGGAGGTGTGTCGGTGGTGGGGGAGGGACCGGCTGACTCCGTAAGCCTAACCACACTCCACAGACCTGTGACCCAGATTTGTTTCTTAAATGTACAGTACATCATCGTATATTTTAGGCAGGATGTTCCTGCAGGCTGGCAGGAAACATCCAGAGGATGTTTGCCAGACGTCTTAATAATCAGTTAGGAACAATTAAGGACTTTTATAAAGCGGATCAGACTTCACTTATTGATGAGTACAAACAAAACACGGTCGCATTTACGCCATGAACCTGACGATTTTTTTCCCTAGAGTTTTTTTCATAAATTTTTCGGAAAAAATTCTTTTTACATTTCTAGTTTATTTTTTCCCCTCTATTTCTCGTATACGAACTTACATGTTAACCGACGGGTCTCGTCCCCAAGGGGTTCGGAAACCAAGTGGTGCTCTGTATATATATATATATATATATATATATATATATATATATATATATATATATATATATATATATATATATATTATATATATATATATATATATATATATATATATATATATATATATATATATATATATATATATATATATATATATATATATATATATAATATATATATATATATAATATATATATATATATATATATATATATATAATATATATATATATATATATATATTATATATATATATATATATATATATATATATATATATATATATATATATATATATATATATATATATATATATATATATATATATTATATATATATATATATATATATATATATATATATATATATATATATATATATATATATATATATATATATATATATATATATATATATATATATATATATATATATATATATATATATATATATAATATACTTATACTGTACATATAAATATATTTATATATACAAACTTAGGTTTGCAGACACCGCTGACATGGAAATGAAAGAAACCCCTTTACATTTGGCAATAAAGCAAGGTCACCTTGATATCATTCGTACTCTAATGAAAAAAAATGTCAGTGTGGATGTTACCGATGTTAAAGGCAACTCCGTGTACCACCTTGCAGCAACATCAAATGAAACCATCATTAAGGTATGCAACATGAATCAAGTTATACAAGTAGTAGACTAGGTGGTCTCCATCATCCATGGAAGCACTAATTGTGGGAAGAAAGTTATTCCTCTCCCTGTTGACACTTTATTCTTGTTATATACACTTCAGCAGCACTGTCATTGCTCTTTTCTGGAGGAGCTCTCCAAATAAGGAGAGCTCCTCCAGAAGACTCTGCCACAGGAGTCTTCGTTTGGCCTATCAGGGACCAAAACCAGAACATGGCCTCCCTCTTGGAGTTGTGGAGAGATCTGTGGATTGTTACAATCACCGAGACTGAAAAAAAGTCCAGAAAGTCAACAAAACACTACATACAGTGGCAAGGTTCACAGAAAGCAAAGCACTGGAAACAGCCAGACATCACTGCAAATGATTGATTTAAAACCGATTGATTGTTTCTCAATAGCTAAAACGTCTCGTGTAAAATGACTACCAACAGTTGGCACTTGGGAAGCTCCAGGCTCCTGCTCCAGCCATTAGTCAGTCCTGTTACTTATACAGCATCGAAGAGTACTGACCTTCCTGAATCTCCAACCATGGGTAATTCCCACATGTTTCCAGAGATAAATGACAGTTATCCTTTGGACTTTGCTTTTTGGGGGCCAGTTGCTTGCGTGTCATTCCTAACCTTGAGTATCTGCTTCAGGTGTGGACTTGGTCAGCATGTTCGCTGCAAGCTGCATGTGTTTAGTGCTGCCCTTCCCTAGGTGCTCATTCAGCATTGCCCTCTGTATTGACTGATATTTTTTGTGTGTGTGTTTGGGAGTTCACCACTTAAAGGTCTGGCCACTGGGATGAAGAGACTCATTCTGGGTAATGCACGAGTTGTTGATTCCTCTGTGGAGCATACCTGGAGAGGGTTCCAAAAGTTCTACTTCCCTGAGGCTCGGCAATTTTTAGGTGTTCAGTTTATCCTCTTCTAAGGTGCATTAGGGGTCACAGGCTTGTTTATCTAACACACTGTTGCTGCCCTTTATAGCCAAATTCATCTTGTAGACTGCATTTGGTGTCAGTTCATCTGGAGAGCATCCCAAGTGCCTAAGTGCAACTCCCCTGATGTGACTCATAATGGATTGACCTGTCAAGCCTGCTCTTGCTACTTATTGACTACCTGTTGATGATTCCGAGTATCAACGTCCCTGCGGCCCAGTCTCTGACCAGGCCTCCTGTTTGCTGGTCTGATCAATTAGGTTATTCGTGCTCACAGCCTACTCGTGGTAGGCTGTGCTTGTTGCTTACTCGTGGGGCCCTGACAGCTGAGTGGACAGTGCTTCGGATTCGTAGTCCTGAGGTTCCGGGTTCTATCCCCGATGGAGGCGGAAACAAATGGGCAAAGTTTCTTTCACCCTGATGCCCCTGTTACCTAGCAGTAAATAGGTACCTGGGAGTTAGGCAGCTACTACGGACTGCTTCCTGGTGTGTGTAACAAATAGGAGGTCTGGTCGAGGACCGGGCCACGGGGACGCTAAGTCCCGAAATCATCTCAAGATAACCTCAAGATATCTTAAGATAGCCTGACGTATGAGTTACATCCTGGTTGATAGGTATCCTTTGAAGGAGCTTGTTGAGTTCTCTCTTGAATTCTGCTAGAGGTCAGCCAGTTATGCCCTGTATGTGGAAGGGAAGAATGTTAAAATGTCTTAAGTCATTGATGTTGATAATGTTCTCTCTGTGTGTTATGGCCCAGGTGGTTCTAAGATTGAAGAACAACGGCATGTGCCAAACGGATACAATAAAGTTGGTAGATGGGCTGTTTAATAGAAATGCTGCCAACCACATGACAAGTTAGAGATGTAAGCTTGTAACTAATTTAAGAAAATTAGGAGTTTATTTAAGGATGAGGCAACTGGGATATATCATATGTATGGTAAATACTGAAGAGATTGACAGTGGTTTAATGTTTGTAAAAGGAGCAATTACAGTATGAGAGTTTGGGCTGCTCATGGCAACTTGTGAAAGTCAGGGAGAGTGCATAGGCCAGACTAGATGTGGCCTGAAGGCGTCTGTGAAAAATTGTACTTAAGTGAATTTTTCCACTCGTTATTATTTCTTCTTCGCAATACGTGCAGTTTGCATGAGGGTTCTTCCTCCCGATGACTGCACAAGTGGTAATGTAGAAAGATGTGGCACTGACAGCGGCGCATCAATGTTCATGATGTGGTAGAGGCTGGAAGATATCAATGTCTTCTATGTGGGCGAGGATAAAGACAAAATAAACGCATGAGTGGAAAGGGACTCAGAACAGGAAAGATCAGGAATAGCAAGAAAGGTGAAAGCAAAGCGTCGCCGTACTATAGAAAGTGTGGGATGTAGGCAAGAGACGGAGGGTGGGAGGTGAAGGATATGTGGGAGGCAGTCGCTAATTAGATATGAGAAAGGAATGGAAGTGCGAGCACATGAAGGAACACGGGATGAATGTGTATAAGGTTAGAGTAAGTCAGGTTGGGACAGGTTAGGCGAGGATAGGGTAAGTCATGTTGATGGATTCCGGAGCTTCACATCTGGGACACAATCACATCGGTCTTCTTAGACACACCAGTAGGAAAGCTTGAAGAAGACCTGGGAGTGGGGTGAGGATGTGAAGTGGGAGTGCGTGGTGTATGTGGTTTGTCAGGTAAAATGGCAGGGCTCTTGGAAGTTGGGCGTTGGGCGTCAATCCCCATGAGGATTGCTTCCTCATGGGGCCGGGGGTTGGGGGTTTGCGGCAAGTCAGTCTGGGGAGTGACTCGGGTAAGGCGGGCCAAGGAGTTATTGAGGGCGTTTTCCAGCATATGTTCAAATGTTTTGGAGACAGCAAGGGAAGCCCCAGGATGTTGGATGTCATCCATAATAGATTTGGAGGTCTGGTGCGTTAGGTCATCCTCAGGAATGGGTCAGATGGATTGTGGAAAGAATTTATTCAGGAGTTGGTCCGTCTTCTCGAGTGCATCTGCAGTGCGAGTGACAAGCTTGTCAACAAGATTGGGACCGAATTATATGGTGTGTTGAAAAGAAATGGACTTTGGGGTTACAGGAACGTCAAGTGACAGATCAGGCATAAGTAAAGGTGGCGTCAGTTTGGGAAGCAGTGGTTGATGACGGACCAAGTGAGAATGTTGCAGAGCACGACTGTAAAGCAGGTTGACGGTGGTAAGAGCCTTAGTTTGTGCTGCTACGTATGAAGGGCAATGTTTGAATGTAATGTCATGATCACCAACATAGTTGGAGCAGTAGAATATATCTGATGCACAATCAGATGTGAATGATAGGGAAGAAAATGCAGAATAGAACCAGTGAAGAGCAGGGGTGCCATAGGCACAATCAGAGAACACTGTATAAATATCAGAGGTTCACGGTTGTTCAACATCCTCCCAGCGAGCATAAGAAATATTGCGGGAACATCCGTGGACATCTTCAAGAGGACATTAGATTGTTTTCTAGAAGTAGTGCCGGACCAACTGGGCTGTGGTGGGTATGTGGGCCTGCGGGCCGCTCCAAACAACAGCCTGGTGGACCAAGCTCTCACAAGTCAAGCCTGGCCTCGGGCCATGCTTGGGGAGTAGAACTACTCCCAGAACCCCATCAAGCAGGTATCAAGCAAGCAGGCATGTGTGTAATGGGAACCAGAGCATTTCCAACATTTGAAGTCATTGAGGCAGCCTTTCGAGGTATAGTTAAAACCTTTACATCGAAAGCACTGAGTGGGACGTGGAAAGTACATCTCTAGTTTATGGAGGAAGCTGTTAACCCAAACCCAATAAGGGGGAAAAGTAGTCAAGAAAAATAAGTAGGGCAGCGCTGGTATCACTCAGTTCTCCATTCGTTCTACGCAGAAATTTCCTGACACCGAAGATAAGAATGTCAGTAGCCTGAAGTTGTGTCTTGAAGTCGTCTGCACTAATGTCAACAACATGTCGGACTACATAGCTTGCTAAACGGTCACACAGTGGTTTGTAGCATCTGACTTTGTAACCTGTAACCACAGATTTCAGTAACGTCTGAAAGCTCCAGGTCCTCGCTGTAATTGTGGTTCACTGCAGTTAAGTTCCTTCGTTTATTCAGTCTGATGTCGTGCACTTTGATCTTAAAGAACTTGGGAATGGCATAATATAGGAGACTTTGGGGCCCGGACATTTCCACTAACACTCCTATCAATGGGCTTATCATCATCAAATGCAATGATGAACATTTGTAAACCAGGAGAACTCGTCCTACCTTGAGTGAGCAAAAATGTTGACACTGAGGTCGCAGAAGGTCATAGGGTACCTCAGGATGCTGGTGGTGTTTTGCCTCCAATCTGTTCACCTTACTGTGATGTTGACTGTTCAGGAAAACTCCCTCTGGATCTCCCTCTAAGACTGGAAAATTGACGGGATCGGAATGTGTGCCATGTAACAGTGGGGTCTGAAAACCCTCAAAGGTATCGTGAATGTTAGACCCTGCACACACCACCATCCATCGCCATGGTCGACTGGCAAGTCATCAATATTTACCAGCCACCAATTTCATTATATAATTGATGTTATGCAACTCTGGGCTAATTACCCACTTATATTGGGGGACCCCCTCCTTGAGGCTTCCTGAAGGCTGTCACTGATTCAGTGCCATACTACAAGGTGCAGAGGTGGGTCCTCTTTGGTGTCGGCAGCCAGGTCGGATGCGCTTCCCCATGTCTCTTCCTTTTCATCTGGTCAGCGTTGTGTTTGCTCTGCTTGGAAGGCTGGCTCTAGTGGTTTGTGCCGGCCCTTTTGCAGGTCCCACCCTTTGATGGGGCAGTTGGTGGAGGGAAAGGGGCTAGCTCAGTTTGCAAAATTTTTGGTCCCATGATTTGATGGCTTTTCTGGGGGGAGCCCTGTCGGCTCCCCGGAGCTATCCAGGCTGAATGGATATGTATAACTTTCTGGCATCAGTCAGTGCATGGAGTTCTTGCCTACCGGGGACCACGAGCCAGAACCTGGCCCCCTCTAGATAGGCACGAGGAGCAATGGCCTATAGAGACCCCCCTTATGATTGGAAGCATTCTGTGTCTGCCATCGACTGGGACAGGCATCCAGAAAGGTAGGCGCCCCAAAACAAACCCCTATTCTGGTAAACTATTGCGACTGAAGACCGAACAGGTGGACAGAACTCCCCAAACGAAAATTAGCCCTCATGACGTCGTCATGTCCCCGCGCCGCCGTCTTCGCAACCCCCCCCCCCTCCCCGGGAGGGGGTAGGGGGGAGCCCCAGACCCCACCGTCGGCAACCCAACCATTAGTTCTTAGGCTGATGGGATCTGGTGCGGTCATGCCTCTGGCTCCTGTTTGCAGTTGCAGTTCTGTTCCTGGTGGTGTGAGCTGTCCCTTCTGGTGGTGTGTGGGCCAGGAGTATTATTCCACGGTGCTCGGGCTGCATGCGCCTAGGGTTATCTTTCCTAGGTGCCCCGTAAGTACTGCCCTTGGGGCTTAGGGCTACTTCCCTGGGTCGCCTTGGGGTCTACCTCCGCTGTGCCGTGTACTGCTCGGTACTTGGCTGCCCTTGGGGTTAGCTGGGGTTTTTTCTTGCCCTTGTTTGTCTCTGGGTAGGTGGTAGTTTTCGTCACTGGCAGGGGCGCGGGGTACTGCACAGCTAGTTTTCACCATTAACAGCGGCCGGCTCTGTTCCGCCTGGGTACGTTGTCCTCTTGCGGGGTTTTTCTTTTGTTTTTGTTTTTTGCCTGGTGGGGGGTCTGCCTGTTTGGTCCCCATCGCTGTTCTTGGGGTTTTTCTCCAGATTGTCTAATTGGTGGTACTCCTCGCTTGGCCCCCGTGAGTGTACACGTCCCAGGGGTTCAGCTATAGCAGTTTGTTGGTAGTTTTGGGTGCCGGTTCGCAGTACCCTGCCTGGGCTTCCCTTAGCGTGTTATCAAGGCTAAGGGCCCTGGAAAACCCCACGGGGGCTACGTGGTCCGATGGATGTGACCCCTGAGTCCCCCCCTCGCGTCCTGCGAGTTTGAAGGTTGCTCTGTCCCCTTACCTCAGGGGGACACTCACCGGTTTTGCCTTCGCCATGCTGCCTGTTGGGTTGGTGATTGTTTTGACCCAGAGTCGTGCGACGTGTGTTGTCTGTACGTTCTCCAGTTCACCCAGGCTACTGCGCCTGATATGCGGGTGAGGGCAGCTGAGGCGTTGCATGCTCGCTTTAGGTTGCTGCAACGCGCTAGGTTGGTCGCTGCCCTGGAGGCCCCGAGACTGCCCCGTTTTGGTTATAGGGACCTGGACTTGGGAGTGGGGGGGTCGCTTCGGCTCTGGTTCCGTTCGCCCCTCCAAGTCCTTCCCCTTTGGTTGCTCGTTCGGTCCCCCCCCCCCCCCCTTGCTGCCGGCTCCTAAACGTCTGAGGGTTTCGGAGCCGGGGCAGGGTTTAGTCGGTTGTGAGACTCGGGCGGTCTCGGGGGTGTCCCCTTCTGGGGCAGTGGCGGAGGCATTTGAGCCTGGTCCTTCTGCCGAAGCTTCTGGGTCTGGCCAGTGGGCCCCCTTTGTTCCTGCTTTGTCGGCTGCTCCCACCTTTTCTTTGGGGGTGGGGGCTCAGGAGGACGGCTCGGCCCCGGGCCCTCTGGGTGAGGTTCCTGGGGTTAGGGAGGGGTTGGCGTGGGGGCCTTGGGCCCCGTTGGACCCCGCTTGGTTTTTTTTTGCCCTCCGAGCGGGGCTTGGTGTTACAAGGAGAGGCGTTCTCTTTCGCTCCCTCCGTGTACGAATTGGATTTGGTGTCCACCCCTCCCCGGGTTCGGTTCCATTTTTCCAGAGGTTTCCCGCTTCCCGTGTTTCGGCTTCAGAGGTGCGGGAGGCCTTGGCGGCTTACCTCTTGCGTGACCCGGATTATGCCTTCCTGATGGATCCTCGTTACTTCGTGTACGGATCCCCAGGTTCGTGCTAGTTTCGTTATGAGGGTTCCGGAGTCGTCCTGGTTGGCAGACTGTCCTCTCTTTTCGTTGAAGGCTTGGCACACGTTCTGTCGGTCCCGCGCGCTTGAGTGGCGAGAGGTTTCCTTGGCGTTGCAGGTTTTCCTGGGGGGTGCTTTCGAGCATCTGAATGCTTGTTTGTTCGCACCTGCCCTTCCGCAGGATGTTGGCGTCATGCAGCTTCACGTGCAGGTTCCTTCCCTCTCGGCTGCCTTGATTGCGGAGGATTTGCAGACTCGTGGCCTGCTTGCTTCAGCTCTGCATTTATTTTCCCTCCTTGAGCTATCCTCGGATTGGCTCGAGTTGGATGTGGGAGCGCTTGGGGCCGCTGCTGGGTCTGGTGCGCTGCCCTTGGCTGTGCGGGCATCGTCTGCTTTGTTGAAGCTCTTCGCGCCCATCCTGCGTGATGCAGTTTTGCGGTTCTATGCTTCTCGCCTCGCGTGTCGTCAGGCGGTGCTGGGTTCCTCCTTGGAGTCCACCTGGGCCCTGGCTCTTCGTTTGTCCTCGCCCTTTTGTCCGTTGCTGTTTGCGGAGTCTGCTGTGGGGCAGTATCTGCAGGCAGCCTCGGTCAGTTGTCGGCCTATGTCGGAGTTGTTGTTGCTCCGGGGGGCTTGTGGGGGGCCTTCCTGGAAGGGTCGTGCCAGGGCTCGGGGGTCTTTTCGTCGGGGTAGGCCTTTGGTGCCAGATTCTGGGGTGGCGGCGCCTTCGGTTCTGGCTGTTGCTGGACGGAGTGGACTCCTTCCTGTTCGCCGCCTTGGTTCTCGCAAGGCGCGTCAGCCCTTTCGCGGTTCGCCCCATTGACGGGGCGATGGGGGGACGGCTCGCCCGGTTTGCCCACGCCTGGTCCCACGATTCATGGGCTTTTCGGGTCGTTTCGCGCGGCCTGTGGTGGCGTTGGGTGGCTCTTCCTCCCTCGGGGGGTTCGGGGCTTGCGGGGCAGGCCTCTTCTCCTGCGCTCTCTCGGGTCTTCTCCAGCACAGGGGTTTTTGCTCTTTTGGTCCTGGTGGTAGGTTTGTTCGGTTGCAGCCTTCTCTTTCTTTTCTGGAGAAGAACAAGACGGCTGCTGTCTGGAGGGGGTTCTTGGGTCATCGATGCTTGGTTGGTCAGGCCAGGGTGCATCATGTGTGGTCCGGTTTCGGCTCTCTAACGTTATCTGTGCGCTTCGGCTTTGGTGGCTGGGGATGTGCTTTGGGTTGATCCGGTTTCCCTCGTTCCCTGTTTCAGGGCTCGGGGTCTCCCAGGTCGTCCGCAAGGTTAGTCCAGCCAGCCTGCGGTTTATACTAGTGCCCATGACGTTAGGACATTTGCTGCTTTGGCTGCCATGTTTTGCAACATGTCTTGGGATGATATTCGGGCGCGAGGATTTAGAGATCGAAAAAGGTCCTGGTCACCCGTTATTTGGTTTCCGTTCCTGCTTCTGGGCGTTCCTGTGTTGCTTTGGGTCGCAGGTTGCAGCCAGTTGTCTCGACTTTACGTTGAGGAGTTTATGGCGGCCGCCTCCTGGGTAAGTCCTTTTTTTTCTTACCTTTGGTTATGTAGCTCCAGGGAGCTGTAGGGGCTCCCCACAGAAAAGCAGCATTGAATGTATTGAAACACCATTTTCTGGGTAAGGCTCCCTGGCAACCCTTCCCCCTCCAGTCAGCATTTTTTCACTGATGCTTAGCTTCTGAACTGGAGGGCTGAATAGCCATTATGGGGAGGTCCGGTGCTCCCCCCCTACCCCTCTCGAGGAGGGGAGGGCTGCGTGGACGAGCAGCGTGACGTTTGCTTGTTTTCTTGTGATTGGAGGGAGTTCTACTCCTCTCTTTTCAGTTTTAGTTATTTTCTTACCATGTGGGGGTTTTTGTTATGCCTGCCTTTCTGGGTGCCTAACCCCAGTTGAAGGTAGATAAGGAAAACCCCCACCACAGGAGGGTTTTCCAGGGCCATCACTCACTGCAACCTCTCTGAGGGGACCAGGTTCTGGCTCATGGTCCCTGGTAGGTAGAACTCCGTAGGCCCGGTCTAATGTATCACACATTAGCCCAATAACTTCAGGGAGCCTCTGGGGCTCACCCAGAAAATGGCATTTCATCACATTCAAAACTGGTTTAATGATGCTGAAGGAACCATTTGGAAAAGCTCCTTGTGGTGCTGCTGCTGCTGCTAAGATTGTCATTTGTCAAACTGCCACAGTTCTTGTCCTAAAGGCAAAGTGGATCTTAACCTTTGTATAATTTTCATATTCAAAATCCATTGTTTATAAATTGCTGGTAAAACTTTTCAAAGATAGAAAACAGAAATTGGTGGCAGTGAAAGATAATCTAGAAGCCTTGACAACTTGAATGTGGTTTGATCCCTGTTAGTCACTGTTTGCAAAAACAGTACAGTGACACTGTGTGGTACTGTATTACAGTACAGTGTCACTTGTATGGTTTCTTATTAGTTTTGCATAAATAAGGTCTGTAAAGAGGATGGGTCTGTATTTTGCAAGTAGTATTTGTTTAAAATGATTTAGCTTTATTCAATGAATTTGTCAGTCTTTAACTTGATTCACTTGATAGTTTGTTGAATTACAAATGATGACATCTTCAGCTCGGCCTACTGTTTAATTGTTCATTTCAGCTAGTAACTCAAAAGGAATCTCGCCTTCTGAATATCCCTAATGAAGCTGGCAAGACGCCCCTTCATCTGGCTTGTGAAGGAGATAAGCCAGACTGTGTGAAAGCTCTCCTGTGTGCCGGGGCAGATGTTAATGTGGCAGCAACTCATGACTCCACCCTCCCAATACATTCAGCCATGGCTGCTAATAGCACACTCTGTGCAAGAGAAATAATTGCAATGTATCCAAACCAACTGAATGTGAAGGTAATTTTCAGAAATGTTAATAATTACATATTTTTCATCTCTATCATTTATTAAATGTTCAGAGAATATCTCAGTAATGCAATTAGTGGGAACTCAAGCAAAGAAGTCACGTTTTCATGATTACAAGTCTTATTAATAAATAATATGTTGATTAATTGTAATGACTGTATAAAACAAAATATTAGCATCAACGTGCATTTTTCTTCTCAGGACATGAAAGATGGCGGAACACCTTTACACTGGGCAACTTCTAGAGAGATAATTAATGCAATGGTTGACCTTGGGTGTAACATTAATGCACGTAATTTTCATGGTCTAACTGCTCTACATAAGATGGTGAGTTAGTTAATTTGTTTTTCTCGGGGGAGCCCCTTCGGCTCTCTCGGAGCTTACTAGGCTGATATGCAAATATCAACCTTTGGCATCAGTTATGTGTATGGAGTTCCATGGGCCTACCGGGGACCATGAGCCAGAACCTGGCCCTCTCAGAAGAGGCAAGGGGAGCAATGGCCTATAGAAACCCCCGTGTGGTTGGAAGCATTCTATGTCTTTCCATCGACCGGGTCAGGCATCCAGAAAGGTAAGCATCCCAAAACAAACCCCTATTCTGGTGAAAATATTGCTACCAAAAGCCAAACAATTGGATTGAACTCCCCTTAAGGAAACAAGCAAACGATCATGATGTCACACATCGCTGTGCTGCTGTCTACACAGCTCCCCCCTCCCCGGGAGGGGGGAGCCCCAGACCCCACACGTCGGCTATCCACCCTTTAGTTCTTAGGCTGATGCTAGAAGCTTCGGTTGTGTGCTTTGGCTCCAGACATAGTTTCAGCACTGTGTTTTGAGTGTGGTGGCTGTCCTCCAGGTGGTGCAAGAGCCGGGAGTTATTCTCCAGTACTCAGGCTGCATGCGCCTTGGGTTCCCTTCCCTAGGTGCCCTGTAAGTACTGCCCTTGGGGCTTGGGGTTACCTTCCACAAGTTCTTTGGGTTCTGTCTCTGCTGGTCGTTTTACTGCTCGGTTTTTCGGCCGCCCTTTGGGTGCTTGGGTGTTCTGTCTTCCTTCTTTACCTAAGGGTAAGAAGCAGTTTGCACTTGTAAGGGGCGCAAGGTGCTGCGCAGCTTATTTTCACCACTTTTAACGGCCGGCTCTGTTCCTCTAGAGTACGCTGTCCTCTTGCGGGGCTTTTCTTTTTCTTTGTCTTCTGGAAGAATCTGCCCTGCTTTTTGGCCACTTGTGCTTGACCTATTACGGTTCTTCTCTGGTGGTGCCCCCTGCTAGGTCCCTGTGAGTGTACACATCCCTGGGGTGCAGCTTTAGTGAGTTTGCTTGATAGTTTTGGGCGCCTGTTAGCAGTACCCTGCCTGGGGTTACCTGGGCATGAGTCTCGTTAAGCGCTCAAGGCCCTGGGAAACCCCTGGGGGCATGTGGGCCCAATGGATGTGATCCCGAGGTCCTCCCCCTCACTTCGCCTTGGCCCCGGGTTCTGCGGAGGAGGATCCCATGGCGGGGGAGGGGCTGACTTGGGGGCCTTGGGCCCCGCTGGACCGTACCTGGGTTTTTCCACCCTCTGAGCGGGGCTTGTTGTTACAAGGAATGGGGTTCTCTTTCCCCCCCCCCTTTCCCCCCCCCCCTCTGTGTACGAAACGGATTTGGTGTCTGCCCCTCCCCGGGTTCGGTTCCGTGTCCCCCAAGTGTGTTGGTTCCGTCCTGCCGGAGGTTTTCGGCTTCTTGCATCCAACCTTCTGCGGTGCAGGCAGCCCTTGCGGCTTACCTCCTGCGTGACTCGGATTATGCCTTGGTGAAGGATCCGTCTTCGTTCAGGTTTGGGACTTCGTTCCCTCTCTGGGTCCGTTACGAGGTTCTGGAGTTTTCCTGGTTGGCAGACTGTCCTGCCTTTGCATTGGAGGCCTGGCGTTCATTCTGCCGTACCCGCACGCTTGAGTGGCACAAGGCTGCGATAGTGGTTCAGATTTTCCTGGGGGGGGCTGGCCTGGAGCATCTTAATGAGTGCTTGTTTGCCCCTGCCCTTTCCCGGGATGTTGGCATTGTGCAGCTCCATGTGCAGGTTCCCTCCCTCTCGACTGTGCAGGTTGCTGAGGACATGCGCACCCGTGGCCTTTTGGCTTCGGCCTTGTGTTTCTTTTCCCTCCTGGAGCTGTCTTCGGACAGGCTTGTGAAGGATGTAGGGGCGCTTGGGGCCGTCCCTGGGTCCAGTGCCTTAGGCTCGACGGCCCGCTCGTTGGCTGCCTCACTGAAGCTGTTAGCGCTGATCCTGCGGGATGCGGTTTCCCTATTCTATGCTTCCCGGCTCTTGTGTCAGCAGGCGGTGCTTGCCTCCTCCCTGGAATCGGCCTGGGCCCTGGCTCTTGGGATGTCTTCGCATTTTTGTCCTCTGCTCTGCACCCAGGAGCGTGCAAGAGCAATACAATGTGTTCACACTTTTCACTTTGGTCACCTCAATTCTCGTCCAAGGTCTTTCATTTTGGTATCAATGTGTTCGCAATAGAATTTCTAACAGGAGTATATGCATATAATGTAAAAAACCGCAACGCACTCTACCTGCCGACAAGATGAAAGAAAACGCTGTGCCACCGCAAGGCGCCACTCATTACATTAGAGAACGCGGTAATACTGAAAATTGTATACTCTTTTGAACTTTGTTACCTCAATTCTCGTCCTAGGATTTTCAATTTGGTATCATTGTGTTCACAATAGAATTCTCTACAGGACTAAATGCATATAAAGTCCAAAAGCCCTGCGAGAAAGTGAGAAAGTGAAAGCGTGTCACCGGGAGCATGCAAGAGCAATAAAATGTGTACACTCTCTTCACTTTGGACATCTCAATTCACATCCTAGGTCTTTCATTTTGGTATCATTGTGTTCGCAATAGAATTCCCAACAGGAGTATATGCAATTATAAAGTCCAAAAGCCATGCGTACCACTCACAGCAAGTAGAGAAAGTGACAGGGTTACCCCAGTGAGCGCTAATAAAGAGCAATAAAATGGGTATACTCTTTTCAACTTTGTTACCTCAATTCTGGTCCTAGGTCTTTCATTTTGGTATCAATGTGTTCGCAATGAAATTCCCTACAGGAGTATCTGCATATAATGTCCAAAACCACAGCAAGACCTTCTCGAAGACACCGCTACTTTACCACACTGTTGCCGCACCGACGACGCAATGCTGCATCGTTACCGGACTTCCCTCTATTAAATGGACGACTCAATGCTGAGTCTTTACCGAGCGGAAGTGTTAACTTGTTTTAAGAGTGAAAAGCAAAATGGATATTGTGAACTTTGCGAGATGATCAAGCTCTTGTCTTTCTTTTGAAATTAATTTAGGCCAATGCTGTTTACACAGTCTTCTCTATTTTAATGTTTTGTATCACTGTTGGCACTTTGTATTCTCTTTAATTAAATGTGTACTATGTAAATTACAGAACTGGTATACTAACAAATTGCTTTTGTTAACAGGTACAAAACAATCGTCTGGCGTGTGTTTTAACCCTGTTGAGTTGTGGTGCTGAGGTTAATGTGTGTGATGATGCAGGTGATCTGGCACTGCACATGGCGAGCTCTGCTGCAGTCTTACAGGCCTTGCTCGTGTTTGGTGGCAACGCTACACTTCCAAATAATAAGGTTAGATATCTAATCCATTAACCCTTTTTCCTGCTGGAATCACCTTTGTGGTTTCTTGAAGCTATATCGCTGAGCTAGCTTCCCACTGCTGCATCACAACAGTCATAGGAGTCCTGTTTGGTCTACTGGTAACCAGAGGCAGAACCTGCCCCCCCCCCTCTCATAGAGAAGCAGAGAAATTGGGAGTGTTACAACCACCCACACGGGAAAAACATCCAGAAAGTAAGCGAAGTAATACAGACATTTGCCAGGTTTACAGAAAACAAAGCACTGAAACAGGCAAATGGTTCTGCAAACGATTCATTCATAACAAATGGTTAACTCAAGACTAGCTTGAACTCCATAGTGCAAATGCCCTCCAACAAGTGACATCCAGGCTCCAGCTCCAGGTGGCTCCTGGTCAATAATTGTCGTTTGTTCAACCAATTAGTTCTTTCAGAGTCGCCTCAGCATAATGAGCCCTGCTTCTTTTCTCAGAGAAGTACCAGGCATCCTTTGGTTTTTGTCCTGTGGGTGCTATTTACTAAATATTAATTTTTTAGTGGTTACTTGATGAGCAGTTTCTGAGGGAAGCCCTGATGACTCCGTAAAGCTATCACACTGATTAAGTGCCATACTACTAGTGTGGCACTTAATCAGTGTGGTAGCTGCACCTCTTCCTTCCCTGTTTGGTGTGGTTTGCTCTCCTTCTAGTACTTCCCTACCCCCTTCCCCTTTCCCACCCTGCTTCCAGCCCCGAAACATCTGAGGGTTTTGGGTTTGGGGCAGGTTTTTAGCTTGGGATATGGCTTGGTCAGCTCTATGCCGCTACCTTTGTGGGTTGATTCTGTTTCCTTTGTCTCCTGTTCCATGGCTCGTATTTTCCAGGTTTCCGTAGTCTTAAGTCTACCCTGCCTGCGTTCTACTCTCGTGTCCATGACATAAGGAAGTAGCCGGTCCGTGTGTCTGCTCGCCATTTGTTTGGTTCTTTCCCAACTTGCCGGGTTCGGGTTCTTTGTGAACTGTAGGAAGTCTCCTCTGGTTTCCTCTCGGGTTTGGACTTGGCTGGATCTTGTGTAGGACTCTCGGACCGCTTCCTTGTCTCTCTCTCTCTCTCTCTGGTTATGTTAATGTGGATGCAGTCCCGCCTTCGGGTGTTTCTGGAGAGCTCCCGGGTCACTCGTCAGTTGCTCGAGCAGCTGTGCTGGAGTCTGAATTTCGCTGGTTTACTCACCGGGTTGGGGTCTGCCTTCAACAGCTGTTCTGGTTCCTTTGGGGACATCACTTCCGCCACTCTTGCAATCGCTGGGTTTAGCCTCTGTGGGCCATGCATCGACTGCTGCATCGCCAGCTTCCTCTTCGGGCTTGTTGGGGTTCAGTGCCGTGGCACCTCCCCGAGCTCTCGCTTGATGTGTTCACAAGCATGTCATCTTTTGGCTGAGGGTTTGTGACCAGTGCTTACCAGGCCAGCCAGGGTTGGTGGGATCTGTCCTTCTGTCGGGCTTGCATCACATACCAGAGTTCACGGCAGTGTGGCTTTCGCTTTGGAGGGTTTTGTATTGCTCGCAGATTGACGATCCGGCCCCATTCGATCTGAGCCCCAGTGGTTCATTGTCTGAACCGCAGAGGTTCAAAGCAGTCCTTGGCTCTTTGGGGCTTTGTCGCTTCGGGTGACTTGTCTGCTGAGATCTCCAGGGGGTGTCTAACATCCTGGCAGACGGCATGTCGTGGTTCATTCTCCTGTCCACGGATGGACAGTCGACGCCGACTCATTCAGTTGGCTCTGCCGGATGTACAGGCGCCTGGTGGTGGACCTCTTCGCATCAGTGTGGTCGAAGTGTGGCGCCCTTCTCCGGCGAGGCTGTCAGGGTCGATATCTTTCGGCAGGAATAGTCGAGGTGGGATTACCTATACCTTTTTTCCCCGGTCCAGCTGTTGCTTCGGGTTCTGGCTTGTTTGTAGACTTACCAGTGGAGAGTAGTCCTGCTGGCTCCTTTGGTGGCCAGCCCATCTTTGGTTTCAGGTGCTGCCACTCTTTCGGCTGTGTTTGCGAATATGTATTGGGCCAATATTATAAACTACTATATATAAACCAGCTAGGGTTTTGGAGGGTTTTGGAGGTCTAGCAGGGTTTTGGAGGTCTAATAGGGTTTTGGCAGCCTGGTATTTGGTAAATGTTCCTAGGGCCTCAGTGGTGGCATTGGGTCATGTCTTGTCTGGGGGTATCATCTTTGTTCGGACACCTGTGGTGCCAGAATGTACACCTCCTCCATGGGAAGTTTCCATGTGCTCTTCCTTCTCCATTGGTAGTTAGCTTCAGAAAGCCACAAAAGACTTCCCCCAGAAAACAGGGTCCTTTCATTACCAACGTAATGAAACGCCAATTTCTGGGTGAGCCCTGATCCTCTCCCTCCCTCCTTGGTTGGCGAGTGGGTGTTTTCATCTGCTCTAGAACTGACAGCTCAGATCCTAGCAGGTGGGTGAGCCATTACCCCCCTCCCCTCAATCGAGTGGGGGAGGTGGAGCAAACGAGCCCGTGTTCGTTTTGAGAGAATTTGATCATTTATTTACATGGTTGGGAGAGTTTATTAGGTTGATTTCGAGGCTTCAATCTCACTTGAATCGAGCAGTGGTTTATTTTTACATTCAGACTTTCTGGATGCCTTCCCTGGTAATGGTGGCAAAATGTCACTGCTCCCTGTGCCTGGGAACCTGGGCGAGTGGGGCTAGGTTCTGGCGTTGATACCCGGTAGGCCTATAGAACTCTGCAGCTGGAGCGTCCTAGTAGATGGGAACCATCTCAGTGTATAGCTTCAGAGAGCCACCAGAGCTCAGCCAGAAATTGGCATTAAATTACAATCAATACGTGTTGCTGGTTATTATTTTAGTTCACATAAATTTAAACAACATTGTTACAGTTTATTGAAGTACTGTATAGTTATAAGTACCAGTACAGTGTGTATTAAATGAATTAACAAGTAATGTTTGCTTTTCTTAGGGGTTACTGGTTCGACATGTTGTTGCCTCCAGTTCATATAAAGAGAAGAATATAATGTTATACATCCTTCATGCTGTTGGTGCTCCTCGTTGTCAGCAACTCTTCTCAGACTGCACCGAAGGCTGCACTCCTACAGGATCTTTTGATGGTGTCCCCAATGAATTTAACCAGTTTTCTCGCAGTCGTATAAACTATGATGAATTTTTAGATGCTGCCATGTTTGAAAAAACCATAAATGGAATGCAGGGAGAGGTTACTTTAGGGTAAGATTTTATACTGGTTTTGCAGTATGTGATTAGTTGTCTTTAATTTTGTTATTTTGTTTACCCTCTGGATGGAAATATCTCATCCATGGGGAACACTTACTGTGACTAACACGGACAAGAAGATGCAGTGATCAAAGATGCGAATGTTGAGTTTGAAAAATTTTTGTTGGCTGTACAAAGAAATTAACCAAATGATCCAGATCATAGTCGACACGGAACTTAATTACAAGCGTTGATTCCAGAATTGGCTGCATAATATAGAAAAATATATTATGAGATTTTGAATGACATGATGAACTTTACAGTGGTGCCAACCACTGGTGTTGATATAAAAACAGATTATGTGATGCATCAAAGTTGTTCTCTGTATGGAGATCTGCTTTGTTTTGAAATCCATGTAGATGTTATTGTAGGAAGCAGGGGGGGGGGCAGTGTATGCACAGGGTTCTTAAACTCTACAGAGGTACTTGGTGGTAGAGGTACTTGGAATCAAAGTAAAAAACTATAAACCTTACCTTGCGGTTACCTTGCGATGATTTCGGGCTCTACGTCCCCGCGGCCCAGTTCTTGACCAGGCCTCCTTTTTGTTACACACCCCTAGGAAGCAGCCCGTAGAAGCTGTCTAACTACCAGGTACCTATTTACTGCTAGGTGAACAGAAGCATCAGGGTGCAAGAAACGTTTTGCCCATTTGTTTCCGCCTCCACTGGGGATCGAACCCGGAACCTCGGGACTACGAATCCGAAGCGCTGTCCACCCAGCTGTCAGGCCCCGTAATTATTAATTATTATTATTATTATTAATTATATAAACCTAATTATTATTATAATATACAAACCAGCAGATGCAGCAGATGAGGAATTCACAGAGTGGATATACAAAATAGAGAATAGCCTTAATAATGTAGCAAACTGAGTACCAGATATTATCTGTCTTAGGAACTCCAATCTACCCAGTTTAAGATGAAAAATAGCAAACAATAACATAAAAACAAGAAATCAACCAACCAGAAGTTGGAGAACTATTGAGTAATGAAAGTGGGGCTTAAAGTGGGTAAAGTGGGGCATTAGAGTTTAAATTTTCTGTGATATTTTTGCTCAACCAAGAAGTAACAGCCATCTAGGAATGAAAACACACTCGATCTGATATTTACAAACAGTGAAGAGATAATCAGGGACATTACAATATCAGATACTACATACTCAGACCACAAACTCATTGAAGTTCAAACTAGCATCAGTACTCATAATAGATCCAACAGAATTAACAAGCGAGAAGTGTTGTTTAATCAATTCAATTTTAACAAAAAGTTGATTGACTAGGAACAAATGAATATAAATCTTGCATACAGTCAATGTGAAACAATGTTAAGTAACAAAACTCCCACACAAGGAATAGAAAGACTGCCGAAGTGTACAAAATCTGCTTGAAGCATGTGCCTTTGTGGAGGGTCAGAAAGAGGACCACCATAGAAAGAGAATGGAAAAAAACATTGCAAAGGGAAAAAAGTAATGTAAATGCATAAGCAAACATAACTTGTTTCAACAAAGAAAAGGAAATCTAAGCAGGGAAATCAAAGAAATAGAGCAGATGCAGAAGCAGTCATGCCAATAGGAAGAAATGAAATTGGAATGTTAAGTAATGCAAGATTTACCTTGTGTTGATTTTATGGAAAATTTTTATTCTAATGGAAAAAATACTAAATATTTTTGCACATATGAAAAATCAAAATAGAATGCCTTCACCAGTATTGGACGTATACTTACAATTGAAGGTTCATACACAGAGGATGACAAAGAAATAATGAAATCCTAAAAGACCAGTATGAGGCTATGTTTAGTAACCCAATAAAAAAACATGAAAGTTAAAGATCTGGACAGCTTCTTTATGAATGATGTTCAAACCCCTGCTAATATAACTGATACTAACACAAGTGTAGTAGATTTGGAAGAGAAATTGACATAAAACCCCGGGTCCATAGGCCAGATTCATGAAGCAGTTATCAAAGTTCTTAAGAAGGTGTACATCTTTCCTCAATCTTTGACGGCTTTGGTTACATTTATTAAACAGTTTACAAGGATGAAAACTTCTCAATCATCTGTTGTTATTGTTATAAACAGCCTCCTGGTGCTTCGGAGCTCATTAACTGTTTAATAATTGTAAACAAAGCCGCCAAATATTGAAAAAAGATGTACAGGTTCGTAAGTGTTGCATAACTGCTTCGTGAATCTGGCCCCTGGAATTCAGTATTCACAAAGAAATATCACGTAACTGTAGCCCGAGTGCTCGGTGTAATATAGAGATAGCTCGAATACAGAGAGATATCAAAAGGTTTGAAATCGGTAGTAAAACTTTGGCTAAAAACTATAGAGCAGTTACTCTTACATCACACATTGAAAGTTTTATAAACAGCAATTAGGAAGCAAATCTCCAGTTTTATGGAATACAATGAACTTCACAACCCAGGACTTAGAGTAGGAAGATCCTGTCTTTCTCAATTACTTAACTACAATGACAAAATCATAGAAGCATTAGAAGAAAAATTAAATGCAGATGTTGTATACACAGAGTTTGCAAAGGCATATGATAAGTCAAGGGTCATGGGGTGATAGCCCATAAAGTGAGATTAATGGGAATAACAGGTAAAGTGGGGTATTAGATTTTAAATTTTCTGTCAGACAGAATGCAAAGGAGACCAGTTAACTAAATAAAAGTAAGTCAAAGCAGTGAAATGCTCTTATGGCCCAGGGCACAATCCTTGCATCATTGTTTTTTCTCATTCGCATGTCAGATATAGACAAAAATACTAGTCACAGCTTTGTATCATCTTTTGTAGCTGATACAAAAATCAGCAAGACAATTGCTTTGGTTGGGCATTGATAAACTTTAAGCTGATGTCAATAAAGGCTTTGATTGTACAACATTGTATAACATAATGGTTTAAGAGTGATAATGTAAAGAAAGTAAACAGTACCAGATTAAAAGGTAGATAAGTACCTCTTATATATACACTGAATATATATATTATTGCAAGTGAAATTCATCTTGATCATATTTTATACCACCAAAACGTTAAAATGTTAACTTTCAACTATCCACTTACAGTCTTCTTCTGTAACAGGTTTTCTGGCTTGGTCAACTCCACTAAGGAAGGTGGACGCATATTGTGTCTCGATGGTGGAGGTATCAAAGGTCTCGTCTTGATTCAGCTTTTAATTGCTCTGGAAGAAGCAGCTGGACGACCAGTTCTCCAACTCTTTGATTGGATTGTTGGAACAAGTACTGGTGGCATCCTCGCTCTAGCACTAGCAATGGGTTAGTGATCAATTTGTATGTTTATATGGATATTAAAATAATTAAAATACCGACCCATCCTTCTGTTAATATAGTACTTTCTGTGCGGAGCCCTGTTGGCTTCTTGTTAGTGTGCTATCCCACAAGTTCCAAGCTCCAAAGTGTGTTTGTACAAAAGTTCCAAAGTGTGTTTGTACAAAATGAAATCTTCAGGGAACCAGACACAATAAGAATTCCAGAGAACAAGAGCACATGGAGGTGTCTAGAGACGAAGTGGAAAAAATGCTCAAGCAGCTAAGTAAAAACAGAGCAGATGGTCCAGATGGAGTTTCACCATGGGTTCTGAGAGAATGTGCATTTGAGCTCAGCATTCCACTTCAAATGATTTTTCAGGCATCCCTATTTACAGGAGTTGTAGCTGATGTGTGGAAAAAGGCTAACATAGTTCCACTCTACAAAAGTGGCCCCCTTAATTATAGACCTGTATCATTGACAAGTGTAAGTGTCAAAATATTGGTTCAGTTCTTGCACCGAAAATGTTCATTGTCTACATAAACGATCTACCAGTTGGAATACAGAATTATATGAACATGTTTGCTGATAATGTTAAAATAATAGGGAAGATAAGAAACCTAGATGATTGTCATGCCCTTCAAGAAGACCTGAACAAAATAAGTATATGGCGCAACACTTGGCTACTAAGTGGCTCCCAGAACTGAAGGACAAGAGCTACGAGGAGAGGTTAGAGGCATTAAATATGCAAAAACTAGAAGATAGAAGAAAAAGAGGTGATATGATCACTACGTACATAATAGTAACAGGAATCAATAAAATTGATAGGGAAGAATTCCTGAGACCTGGAACTTCAAGAACAAGAGATCATAGATTTAAACTAACGAAACAAAGCTGCAGGAGAAATGTAAGAAAATTCACTTTTGTAAACAGAGTGGTAGACGGTTGCAACAAGTTAAGTGAGAAGGTGGTGGAGGCCAAAACCGTCAGTAATTTCAAAGCGTTATATGACAAAGTACTGGGAAGACGGGACACCACAAGCATAGCTCTCATCCTGTAACTACACATAGGTAATTATGCTTAGGTAATTACATAACAAAGGCAGTGAAATGTTTGAAAGGAAAATCTGAACCAGCGATGCAGATATGGAAGTGTATAAGGCAAGCAGGGAATGGTCTAACCCCCTTCCCCTCCTCCTCACCCTCCACATACACCAAGACTGATCATCCCTTCATTAAGTCCTAAATGAAGGTAAAATGCAGTTAAATGTTCACTTATTTTATTTATGGGTTTATATTTATGCCTGATTGTTTTGTGTATGAAAAATATGAGTAGTAGTATTCTGTAGAAAATGTATTTTTAAGTTAATATTTTTAGGGGGTGTGGAACGGATTAATTCAATTTACATTATTTCATATGGGAAAATTTGTTTTGGTTGACGACTCTGGGACGACTTTGGTCTGGTAACAGATTACAATCGTAAACGATGGTATCACTGTATATATATGCCTGACATGAATGTGTTTCCTGATTACATTTTCAATGAGTAGTCTCTTTTAATCATATTTCAGTGGATAAAGATTATCTTTTATATTGAACTAAAGTCCCTTTCTTTCTCCACTAGGTAAAAGTGTACGATATACTCAAGGTCTCTATTTTCGGATGAAAGACTTGGTATTTGTTGGTCGTCGACCTTATGATGAAAAACCGCTTGAAGACATTCTGAGAAAGGAATTTGGAGAAACCACTGTCATGTCGGAAATAAATGGACCTAAGTATGATTACATTTATACCATTATGGGGTTATTTAGCTAGTATGGATTGTGGTTGCAAGCACAACTCGCCTAGTTGTGCTTGCAGGGGGTTGAGCTTTGGCTCTTTGGTCCCACCTCAACTGTCAATCATCTGGCTTTCAGATTTCTGAGCCTATTGGGTTCTATCGTACCTACATTTGAAACTGTGTATGGAATCTGCCACCAACAGATAGATCACTTCCTAATGCATTCTATTTGTTAACTACTCTGAAGACTACTACCACTGTAATAGTCTGGCAGTCCCTGCCAGTATCTGGCAGTCCCTGTCAGTATCTGGCGGCCCCCTGTCAGTATCTGGCGGCCCCCTGCCAGTATCTGGCGGCCCCCTGCCAGTATCTGGCGGCCCCCTGCCAGTATCTGGTGGTCCCTGACAGAATCTGGTGGTCCCCGTGACGAAGTGGTACACACTTGCCTGGCATTTCGCAAGCACTTTGGCCTGGTTTCATATCTGGCCAGGGAGGATTTACTGGGTGTCAATCCTTAACTGTTGCCTCTGTTCACCCATCAGTGAATGGGTCCCTGGTTGTTATTCGATTTGGAGTGTCGTATGAGTCGTATCAACCAGGTACCAGGTATTCCGGGAAAAATTAAGATTAACCCTTATGCTGCTCTGTTATTAATAACCCCTTCAACAATGCCAGGTGCAAGAAATACAAAAAAAAAATTGTCTAATAAAGGTGTTCATTTGTGTTCCCCTGATCACGGGAAAAATAATACAAAAATCGTAGGTGACATATTTTGGCCCCCAATAGGGTGAGGAAGTCTGGCAAAATTGAGGCGTTGACAGAGGCAAGCGTCGGTGGCGGTCTGCTCTGCCCGAGCTGTCATGCGGGAGTTACCACAAAGATATTACATGTATTACCTAATTATTTCAATGTCTGATTTTTCTCGTTTTTTTTTTCCAGTAATATTATTCAATAGTGTGTAGTGTGATATATTTAAATTATAAAATGTGTGAACCAACCGTACAACTAAACTGGTATGGTGAGTTGAGACAATAGTTGAGGTCGCCACAGTCAGCTGATGCTCCCTCTCTCACTCCCCAATAGTCCTCCTCCCACTATACTGTTTGTGTTGCTTTTATGCTATATACACATGCATTATATACAAGTATCTACATGTTTTATTCACCATAACTGTACAACTAAAACTAAGCTGGTATGGTGTGTTCAGACAATAACAGAGGTCACCACAGAGTCAGCTGACGCTCCCTCCCTCCCTCCCTCACTCGTTCAAGACCAGACGCACTAACATTCCACCTCTAACAATGCTATTTTCGGTGTTATTACACCATATACACACATTATATATAAGTACAGTATCTACATGTTTTATCCACCATACCTACAATAAATTTGTATGGTGCCCAAAGAGCATAGTGGCCACACTACACAGCATGACAAGTCATGCAGATGATGTCACCTCCTTCACCAAAATGGCTCCTCCCAACTTATCCTTTTGCATTTATTACACTAATATACAGGTTATGTATACACATCTACATTTGTGTTCTCCATAGAGAACCACTAAGCTGGTATAGTGGTTATCTTGAGGTTATCTTGAGATGATTTCTGGGCTTTAGTGTCCCCGCGGCCCGGTCCTCGACCAGGCCTCCACCCCCAGGAAGCAGCCCGTGACAGCTGACTAACACCCAGGTACCTGTTTTACTGCTAGGTAACAGGGGCATAGGGTGAAAGGAACTCTGCCCATTGTTTCTCGCCGGCGCCCGGGATCGAACCTGGGACCACAGGATCACAAGTCCAGTGTGCTGTCCGCTCGGCCGACCGGCTCTGGTGAGTTCAAACAGTAAAAGATGGCCAAACAAAATCAACAGATAGCTACCTCCCTCCCTCCCTCACCAAGATTACTTCTCCCACCATTTTACTCACAGCGCTAATTATCACCACAATCCTGCTATTATCAGAATCCTGGTCATTTTTATCAGTCGGGGGTCTTCTGTTATACTATCATCACTAAATAATAGCAGGTACATATATATTTTGACATTTCTGGGGGGGGAGCCCCTTCAGTTTCCCAGAGCTAACCTGGCTGATATGAATGTATTCAACCCTGGCATCAGTCAGTGTTCATGGAGCTCTAGGCCTACTGGGGACCAGGAGCCAGAACCTGGCCCCTTCAGAGAGGCATGAGGAGCAATGGCCTATAGAAACCCCCATTTGGTTGGAAGCATTCTATGTCTGCCACTGACCAAGTCAGGCACCCAGAAAGATAAGCACCCCAAAAAAAAACCCCGATTCTGGTTAATATATTGCTACTGAGAGACGAAGTAGTGGACAGAACTCCCCAAATAAAAATGAACAAATAAGCTGATGTTAACTGGCAAGGATAATAAGGCTGATGTTAACTGGCAAGGATGTGCACCTCTGGCCCTTGTGTTTTCCAGTTCTGTGCCTTGTGGTGTGGTCCTGTCTTCTAGGTGGTGAGCGAGCTAGGAACAATTTCACAAGTACTCGGGCAGCATGTGCCTAGGGTCCTCTTCCCTAAGTGTCCTGTAAGTACTGCACTTGGGGCCTGGGACCAACTTCCACAAGTCATCTTGGGAACTACCTCCGCAAGGTCGTTTGCTGCTTAATGATTGACTGCCCTTGGAGTCAGCTGTGGTGTCTCATGCACCGTTGTTTGGCTCTAGGTTGGGGATAGTTTCGTCACTGGTTGGGGCGCAGGGCACTGTGCAGCTACTTGTCACCTCTCATAGCGGCCGGCTCTGTTCTGCCTCGGCACATTGTCCTCTTGCGGGGTGTTTCTTTTGTTTTTGTTTTCCTACTTGATGGGAGATCTGCCCCTTGGTTTTGGTCTCATACTATTATATCTCAGTGGTCCTCCACTAGGTTCCCATGAGTGTACACGTCCCTGGGGTTCATTATTAGCAATTTGCTTGGTAATCTTGAATGCCAGTTAGCAGTACCCAGCCTGGGCTTCCCTTAGTGAGATATGTGACTAAGGGCCCTGGAAACCCCATGGGGGCTCTTTGGTCCGATGGATGTGACCCCTTGGTCCCCTCTCGCTTTGTGTGAGTTTGAAGGTTGCTCGCTCTCCTCTTGTCTCAGGGTGACAATCACTGGTTGTGCCTCAGTCATGCTGCCTGTTGGGTTAGTGCGTTGGTTGTGATTGACCCCAGAGATCAGAGCTTATCTCTTGCCTTGCTGACATTCCCCCTCTTCCCACACTTGGAACTTTCAAGCTGTGTACTTCCTGACTTTATGGCATGAATGCTTAATTCCTCTTTATCTAATTTTTCCTTGGGCATACGGTGGCCTCCACATGATACAAGTATTCCTGAATATGTGGGCATCCTGGGGATACCTGACGTGACAGTTTCCATCCAGGGTTAAAGGAGATAGGCCCTTGTGCACAAATAGGTGCACTGTGAACTGCAATGAACCATTCAAGTCAGCTGTATGAGGATCTTGAGAGACCATACTCTCACAGCGTGCATGTTCGACCCTGCCCTACCTAAGGATGTTGGCGTTGTGCAGCTTCACATGAAGGTTCCCTCCCTCTCGGTTGCGCTCAAGTCTTGCTTCTGCAAGACAAAATGTTGGCTCGAACCGCTTGACAGTCTACGCTCGACTAGGCTCAAACCACAAGACTTTTCATCTTGTGGTTCTTTTATCTTCTTGAGCTGTCCTCGGACTAACTTGAGGAGGATGTGGAGGTGATTGGGGCCAGTCATGGGTCGGGTGCAATGGTCTCGGCAGTGCGTGCGTCGTCTGCATGTCTCGATTTATCCAGGATTCAGAGACTGGCTTGATTTTGTATGTGGGCTGTAAGTGTTACCGCTTTCGTTGCCTTCCATTCAGCTTCAATCTAGCACCTCGCATTTTCACACGCCTTACCCAGGTCGTGGTGACCCGTCTGCATCTGGGTTGCTAGAGGGTTTGAGCGGGAGGCTGGACTTTGCCATGATGGTCTACCTGCCGGGTCGGGTTTGGCTTCATCGGCTGTTCTGGTTCCTTCAGGGTGATGCCTTTTCCGCCTCTATCGCGATTGCTGGGTTCGACCTATTTGGGCCTTGTTGGCTGCTGAGGTGCCGACTTCCTCTTCAGGTTTTTCAGGGTTCAATGCCGTGGCGCCAACCCGAACCCTCACTCGATGTGTTCACGGATGCGTCATCTCTGTGCTGGGGCTTTGTGACCAGTGCTCACCAGGCAGGCCAGGGGCGGTGGGGTTCATCCTTTTGTCGGGTCCACAGCACGGTGAGGGAGTTTGCAACAGTGTAGATGTCGCTTCAGAGGGTTCGTGTCGCTTGCGGATCGACGATCAGGCTCTATTCAGACTGCTCCTCGGTGGTTCTTTGCCTGAACCGTGAGAGATCAGTACGGTCCTTGGTTTGTTGGGGCTGCTCTCTTTGGGTGACTCGTCTGCTGAGTTCTCGGGGTTTAGCTCTCCTGGCCATTCACGTTTGGGGTTGTCAAACGTTGTGACAGACAGCCTGTCTCATTCCCCATTCATTCTTTTGTTCATTCCCCTCTCCACGGAATGGACGGTGAATGCTGACTCATCCAGCTTGCCCTGCTGGTCGTACAGGCTCCATGAGGTGGACCTCTTCGCATTGGTGTGGTCGAGGCATCTCCCAGTATATGTGGCACACTCCAGGTAAATGTAGTCGATGCCTTGTGGCAGGACTGGTCAAGGTGGTGTGACCTGTACCTCCTATCCCAACCCCCCCCCCCACCCCCCCCGGGTTCGCTGTTGCTCCAGGTCCTACCTCGCTTGGAGACTTATCGGGGGAGAGTAATCCTTCTGGCCCCTTGGTGGCCAGCCCAGCCTTGGTTTCAGGCGCTGGTTGCTTGGTGTCCAAACCCAGGGGTCTTCTCACGGCTCTGCCTCTTTCAGCAGATCAGCCAGTCCGTTACGTCCCGCCAAACACACACCGAAACTACGACGTTGGTACAACGTTCGAACAAGTTTTAACGCCTAACCAGTTATAACAACCAATA